GTTTCATTCATATCCACTGGTGGACATGTCCCCTTAAGTTACCTGAACCTTTCGACAGGGAATACCGGGGAATGGATGGAGGACAGATTAACGTCCTGATGGCCCTGAGCGATATTGAGCTCGGAGACGTGCTGCCTGTGTTGGTACCGGAAGCCATAAATGCCCAGAGGATTCACCCCGTTTTGAAGGTCGATGGGAAGGCTTAGTTTCGACGGTATAACGGTAAACCGCAGGGACAGCCTTTGGGACGAAAGAAATCTATCTCAAGGCGGGTGCTGTGGTCATGTCACGGATCATTACGCACGGGTCGGCGGAACGGACGAATGAAGGTATCGTCGGTCGATCGTCTATCGCTATTCACCGAGATATCCGTGAGCGTTTTGACTATCCACATTCGAAGTACTTATTAGCCGCGTCTGACACCCGATAACGCAAGATTATCCAACCTAGGGACCGCGTCGTCCCACCACAGATATGTAGCGGTTGTGTTCTTCTGGTGTTCTATATCGATAATGGGCTTAGACCGAATCGTGTTGTTATCTGTCTGGAAACACTGAATGTATAATTCTATGAAGAGTCTATCCAAAATCACTGTTTGGAGAGTATTTTCAAAATGAGTACAATGCAAGAAATACTGCCAGCATTGCAGATCTAAGTACCGATGAATTGCACCACATTGAGCAGGTTATTCACGGTTTATATCGAGCTCGCCATGCCGGCACTCATTTGGCTATGATGGCTATGGCATCTGGACGGAACAAGATAGAACTTAGCAGCCGCAGAGGGTTTTTAAAAAATTGCTCGATGAAGAAGAGGATTTTAGAGATAATGCCAATACCTAAGCGTGGCGAAATTTGGTTGGCTGACCTCGGATTTGTGCAAAGAAACGCCCTGTTCTAATTTTGAGTGTGCCTTCTCAGATTCTGTTAATGCCCTAATTACGTTGTAACCCCATAAACGAGCACAAGAAGTTCAGAATTCAAGGTTAAACTTTCTGTTGCTGGATGAAGACCTGGGAGCTTTAAACTCCAGGCGTTGACAGCAGTTTCACCGTCCGTGTTTCATTCATCCGCCGGTTTGGGAACTGCAGCCTCCCAAATGAATTGATTTAAAGTTCGTAAAAAATGGCTTGTATTCAGTAATCCCGTGGGCATCATCAGATATTCGACAAAGAATGCAACACCCAGAAAAACCCTCTGGGGTGGGCGTTTCATCAGCACAAACCTCACTACAGATACATCCTTCAACGCCACTCCATTTAGCCGACACCCGCCCTCAACCGTATACGATATCTGGTAATCCACGCACAACGCAGATTAAATCCCGATCGGCAAGAAATATCGCCGATGCCGACTTGCGAGATCTCATACGCGGCTTCAGAACGCGGAGGCGGATTTTCAAACTGCGATTTTACGCTCGTCCAATAAGATGACGTCCATGAACTCAAACCTATCTGATTGAAACCCCTGTACTCGAATTCGGCGTAAACTCACACCCGCTCTTCCTCCGAATGATCAGGTTACGAGACGCCATCTTTACATTCGGATAGATTCTCAAGTCCATCGCGGTCACTCCCTCAACTCTGTGATGCTTCCTACACATTGCGAAAAATACAACCGATACCGTCTGCCCGTTAAACGCAAAAACCAACACCCCACCAACCATAAATCTCGGTTTCTGGTCTACCGGCTTAATGTGAGTATGTTCCTACGGGATCAGAAACTCTGCGATCTGCGTATAGCCCTCGCCAATACGAACCCCCTCGGGTGGCATTTGGCCCTGCGCACGACATTCCTATGATCGCACCTAGACGCACGCTCGTGTTCTACGCAAAAGCCACGAACAGCCCTGTGTCATCAGCAATCGAGATTTTATCAAAAGAACTAGGTGCTTTTTGAGTACACACATCGGCTTTAATAGGAACAGAATATCCCCACTCACAATCAGCGAGAAATTTCTATTGGACGACATATGAATTTGGGCATGGCAGTGCTTGGACGATTAGATGCCTACGGTTCGGAACGTGCATACACTGCTGCCGCAAAACAGAAGAATACCCAGAGCTGCGGGAACTGACACCGAGGTCGCACCCGAGCGCGATGCGTCTATGGCGTGATTGTCGCGACCTGTTGCGAATCTCAGGGGCTTACCGATGGGCTACAATCGCGATTGTCAGGAAGATAACCGCCCGCTGTGGGAGGCGTTTGATAGTGTGAAGCGTATGCCTCGTCTGCCTACCGGACTCCTCAGAACGACGGGGATTTCAACGGAACGGATGGCTGACTGGCGAATGCAAACGTTCGCACGGCGACAGAATTAGCGACTATCTCGTTAAAGAGCACAGGACTCAGTTTTCGGAGTGACCACGAGATTGTCGGATGGCTCGTCGGGGACTCGTGGAGCAGGAAAGGACACGTTCGCGAATTGGAACTCACGCAGGCACTCTTGAAAACAGAAGAGATTGACATACAATTTCGCAGTTGAACAGATTTGGATGCAGATGGCGATGCAGAATACCAGAGCTCGGTGCACAGTCGCCTGCGAGGTTCGTCGATTGATTAGGACGATTTGAAGAACAACTGATGAGATTGCACATATTTATGCTGCAGACCCAGTTGAGTCCGCACATCAAGAAACTCAGCATATAGTTGATGATGTTTGAGCAAAACAGTTCGGTTAACGCGTTGTAATTCTACTCAAAGGAGATTGCTGTGGCACCAAATATGACAAATTTGCCGCTTATGACATGACACCTGGGCAATTTCGTGACTGGATCCGTCGCATTGCGGAACACTCACTATTGCGGACCGTGAGCGGCTCCTCGCATTGCTTACGATAGAGACTGATAGGGAAACACTGGCAGAGGCGTTCCGTGCGGATCATAAATCTGGGGAAGTTAAAGGCAGATATGCAGTGGGTAAATCACAATCTGCCCTAAAGGAGATGATAAATTGAAAAACAGATTAATTGTCGCCTTGGATACGGATGATGGTGAGGATATTGATTGGTTGTCCGGGACGCTTATGGATATAGTCCTTGGGTTAAGATCAGCTTTCAAGCGTTTAGCACCCTTGGAACCGAAGTTTTCCGTGGCTTAGTGAAAGAGGGCATCAAATCTTTCTGGACCTGAAATTCCATGACATCCCAAACACAGTGGCACGCGATGTCGGCACATGACAAAACATGGCGCACACATGATTAATATGCACGCCTCCGGTGGACTTGAAATGATGAAGGCAGCAAAAGCGAGCGCGGACAAAGTATCTGCCGAACGCGACATTCTGCCACCTGTGCTACTCGGTGTGACTATTCTGACAAGCATTGAAGAAACGAACTTTCGGCTGAGTTTCGCCTCAGCACGGACGCTCTCAGAGCAGGTTGTCTATTTCGCACAGTTGGCGCAGGAAGCAGGATTGGACGGTGTTGTCGCATCGCCGTTGGAAATTGAACCGATCCGAAAAGCGTGTGGCGACAAGTTTTTGATTGTGACACCGGGTATCCGTCCTACGTGGGCAGAAAGTGATGACCAGCGGCGCATCACCACACCAGCGGAGGCGATTCGACGAGGTGCCGATTACATTGTTGTGGGTAGACCCATTATTGAGGCGGAGGATCCGTTGGCAGCTGCCGAAATGATCCTTGAAGAGATGAAAGGGGCATAATACTATGAACATTGTCTGTATCTGTTTAGACACGTTTCGTGCGGACATCATCGGCGACGGCAAGAAGTATAGCCACGTACAAACGCCGAACCTCGATGCCTTAGCATCAGAGAGCATCCGTTTCACCCGCGCCTTTGGGGAAGGACAGCCGACGCTTCAGGTGCGTCGCGCCAACTTTACCGGAATGCGAAGTTTTCCGTGGAAATACAACTTTGATCGGCGTGGACATTGGCATCACGCCCCCGGCTGGCATAAGATTCCACCCGAACAGGATACGATCGCTGAAGTCCTACTTGAACGCGGGTATCTCACTGCCCTGATTGCAGATACATATCACATGTTCAAGCCGACGATGAATTTCTCGCGCGGATTTGCGCATTTCGATTTCATCCGCGGGCAGGAATCGGATAACTGGCACAGCGGTGATCCAAGGTTGATTGAGGAGCAACTCCGAAAACATGTCCGTGAACCGCTCAACTGGCAACGACATGCAGGACTCGTCAACTACCTTTTATCGCAACGGCATCGGCAATCGGAGGATGACTATAGTTGTGCCCGCGTCTTCCGTGCCGCATCGGAGTGGCTCCAAGACAATCACACCGTCGGTCCGTTCTTCTTATGGGTGGACAGTTTCGACCCGCATGAGCCGTGGGATCCGCCTAAATCCTATGCAGACCTCTATTTTCCAGATTATTCGGGCAAGGATTTCATTACGCCGGGCAGCGCGAACGAAGGCGATGGACCTACGGAGGATGAACTCCGCCGAATTGAGGCACTCTATCTCGGTGAAGTGACGTTTGTCGATAAATGGGTCGGCGTGCTACTTGACAAGATAGAGCAGTTAAACATCCGAGACGAGACATTGATTGTCCTGATGTCCGACCACGGCACACAACTCCGAGACCACGGAAGTTTCGGAAAGGGTCCGAACAAGTTGCATCCCTTCAATACGCAACTGAACCTGATGGTTCGGCATCCAGAGGGACCCCATGACAAGGACATTTTTGCGTTCGTGCAGAACCACGATCTGATGCCGACGCTCCTAAATCTGCTTGACATTCCGTGCGGTTGGACCGATGGCGAGGATATGTGGCAACTCGTTACACAGGAAAAGGCACTCCTCCGCGAACGAGTTATCACAGGCTGGGCAGGATTCATCACGGGCAATGCGCGCGGTCGCGTCAGCGTGCGCGATAACCACTGGAACTTCTGCACTTCAGTCGGCTACAGAGATGAGAACGGCGATGAACTCTTTGATGTACGGAATGATCCAGAGGAGAAGGTAAACGTTGCGAGTGCGCATCCTGCAATCGTTGCCGAGCGGCGACGGGATGTCGAGGCGTTGATTGGACAACCCTTACCGGGACATTTCATTGAGGTCTGCGATCTAGAACAGGCACCGATGACGCAATGGCTTCAGAAAAAATTGGCGGAGATGTAGGAAGCAACCACCTTGCATCGCTGGCGAGGTTTCTAACCTCGCCTCTTTAAAGCGTCCAAATCTACCATAGTTGTCGGTAAGAGAACCTCTTTGCTGATGGCTATTTGAGTTTTTCCCAATCCCAGAGGAGGATTGTGCCGTCGTTGCTTCCACTTGCGAGCGTTTTTCCATCTGAAGAGAATCGCATCACTCGTATCGGCTTTGTATGACCTATATGAGTGGACAAAAGTCTGCTTGTGTGGACATCCCACAGTTGTATCGTTCCCTTTCCGTTTCCACTGACAAGGATTTTTCCATCCGGCGAAAATAGCAACTTGCTCACTGTTGCACGCGGTTCAAGAATGTTTGCCCTGCCTTTAGTGCCGTTTGCTGTGTTCCAAAAACAGAGTTCGCCACCTACATCGCCACTTACGAGTGTTTTTCCGTCCGGCGAAAACGCCACTGCACTAACCCTGTTACTATGCCCGGTGAATGTGAAAAGTTTTGCACCTGTCTGCGCATCCCATAAATGAATGGACCCGGCGTTACTGCCACCTGCGAGCATCTTTCCATCCGTCGAGAATACCAATGTGCTGACGTGAACCGGGTGTCCTTGGATAGTCAGTCGAGGATGCCGTGTATCAGCAAAACTGCCAAAAAATTTCTTGAGATCGAATGGTTGTCGCTCGGTGGCATCCCACAAGCGAACTACGTTATCCTTGCCCCCGCTTGCTACGGTTTTGCTGTCGGGAGAGAAAGTGAATTCTGCTTGGAAGAGTGTGCCTCCTGGTCTTCGCTTCTTCTTCGGTGCTCCTTTCAGGGTGGCACGCGCGCGTTTTGTCTTCACATCCCACAACTGCGTTATGTTGTGTTCCCAGTAATCGTCGGTGATAATCGTTTTACCATCGGGCGAAATTGTTCCAAATGCGCTATTTGTATTCAGAAAATGGATAGACAGTTGGTTTCCTGTGCTAACATCCCAATCCTTCAGTTGAATGCTGCTCCAATTTGTGGTAAGATGCATACTTGTGAGAGTGGAACCCGTTTCGGAAAAGACGAGTCCCAAGGGATTCCCAAAGTGTCCTAAGGAGGTGAAACGTTTACTCCCGATGGTGGTATTCCATGCCCGGATGCTACCGTCGTGACTTCCGGTGATAAGTGTTTTTCCGTCTGGGGAAAATGCCAGCGCAGACACTCGGTTTTTATGTCCCCTGAGTGTTAGCGTAGGGACATACTTACCAAAAGTGCTCAACCCCTCCTGTTTTTTCACGGTGGCATCCCACAACCGAACCCTTCCGTCATTACTTCCACTTGCGAGGAGTTTGCCGTTCGGTGAGAGGGTTAACGTGTGGAAACCCCATTCAGATATTTTAAAGGTTGCACGAGGCGTCCGGGTATCCATATCCCACAACCGAATTGTGTTGCTTTCATCTCCGCTTGCCAGCGTTTTGCTGTCGGGTGAAAATACCAATGCCCGAATCCATCGTGTATGTCCTTCCAAGGTGAACAACAATTCTCCAGTATTCACATCCCAGAGCCAAATTGGATAAATTTCGTGTCCGTCTGATGACGCAGCTGCAAGGCGCGTAGCGTCTGGTGAGAGTGTCATAACTACGGTACCGTATCCGAATTTAGAATCTGAGTTTGTATCCGTAACAATAGGTTCGGTTGTGTTGGGCCTGAACTTCCACAAACGAATATGTCTACGCTGTTCGTTGGCAAGTGTGATGCCATTTGCAGTGGCGACAAAGACTGCATTTGTTATCTTTTGAGGACCGCGGAGCGTTGAGTGGCGTTTGGCTGTGGATATATCCCATATCTGAACTTCCCCTTCGGAGTCGCTACTGATAAGTGTTTTTCCATCTGGAGAGAAGGCTATTGTTCTGATATCTCCCGGTTTTTCATTGAGTCGTGCGATTTCTGCGCCAGTCTGCGCATCGTATAACCAGATACCCGTACTCGCCGCCACGATGAACTGCGTGCCGTCCGGTACAAACTTTATATCCCTTATGTGACCTTTACCGAGGCGTAGCGTAGCACCCTTCGGGCAGGTGCCATCGGGTATAAGCAGGAGTCTCCGCTTGTGTTTGGAAGTCCGTTAGGGTTTCCTCTGAATTCGGTGAGGCTATCCAACGGAGTAATAGACTGAGCAACAGCACACCACAGATGAACAGTAAGGGTATAAGGAAGAAACGTAAGCTTTTCATGAGTATGTCCGATTTTCTATCTGTTTTATAGTAAAGTCGATAATTAATTTGCCTCTTCCGAGACGGGCTTTCGCACCTTCAGGCAGATGCCACTGTGCCGCAAAGTCCTGCGCCAGACCGTTTGATAGCAGGGAACCGGAAAGTAAAAGGCATACGATATAGAGAAGGATGTGTCTTTTTCATGAACCTGAACTCCTTTTCGAGAAAAGAATCTATATCATAATGGAGAGCAAATTCCGTGCCAGTTTGACAGGGACCACACTCGGACTTTTGGCAGAATAGTGAAAAAAACCGCACAAAATTGGGCATCCTTTACGTCCAATTGCACGAAATAGGGCAGGTTTGGTTCGTTGCTCGTATTTTAGTTTATCACAAAAAGTCTCTGAATCGCAACAATTCCCTGTAGGAGCGAGTGTTTTTGCTTGGGTGTTTTCCCCCATGCTCGCGACCGTCGCTGACGGCTGACGGCTGATAACTGATAGCCACTCCCATAAAAAGACTTGATCTTGATTTTCGTTTTAAGTATAATATATTAAAAAGGCAATCAAAATTCTATGATTTTCTTTTCGGTGTAGTTCGCAACGCCGGGGTTCCCACCTGTTACTGGGAAAGGACTAAACTTGTTATAGAAAATTTGAAGGGAAAAATTATGCAAAGAAGACGCGCCAGATCGCAATATTGTAAAGGTGAATTGATTGAACGCCAGGACTTTTCTGAAGATTTAGCCGCGTTCAAATTCCGGACTGATAAGCAGCTTCCGTTTATACCCGGGCAATACGCTACGATCGGTTTTCAGGTTGGTGAAAAGATTGTCCAGCGTCCGTATTCGATCGTCTCCTCACCGCACGAGCCATTTATGGAGGTTTTCGTGGAATTGGTGCCGGAGGGCGTGACGACCCCGCTGTTTTGGGAACTGAAATTGGGGGACAGCGTGTTTATCCGCGAACGTCTCGTCGGTAAATTTGTCTTGGACACGGAGAGCGGGATAACACGCCATGTCATGGCAGGGACTGTCACGGGTGCTGCGCCGTATATTAGCATTGCGCGAACACAAAAAATTGAACAAGAACAGGGCAAAACGAGTCCACATCAGATATTAGCGATCGTCGGTGCAAGCCGTTCGTGGGAACTTGGGTATTACATGGATGAACTCAACGAACTCGCGGCGCAGGAGGAGTGGTTCACGTTTGTCCCGACGGCGAGTCGTCCGTGGGAGGATCCGGAGTGGCAAGGCGAGAGCGGACGTGCCGAAGATGTGATTCGGAAATACGGCGATCAGCTCGGCTTCGATCACACGAACGCGGTCGGCTATGCGTGTGGACATCCACAGATGATCGAGAATGCGAAAGCGATCTGGGCGCGTGCGCGTTTCCCCGAAGAACGGATTAAAGAGGAGAAATTCTTCGTGATTAAGGAGTAGTAGGTAGGAATCCACACTTATAGAAGGTTTTATTCAAACAGCGGTATTGTGCGGATATAATGAGATTCGCGCGATGCCGCTGTTTCGCGTGGTGAAGTATTATCTGGCCCTGCGAAGCAATGCTTTGAGATAGTTTGACGGAACGGCAAAATTGAGGTTTTCCGCTTCAGCACCGGGGTGACTTGCGGTTGCAACACCGATTACTTTGCCTTTGTTGTTTAGCACTGCTCCTCCGCTACTTCCTGGAGAAATTGAGGCTGTCATTTGGATCCACTTATTGTTACCTTCTCCTCGGATGCTGCTGATAATACCCTCTGAGAATGTGCCTTCCAATCTTTCAGGGTTGCCGACGGCGTAAACTGAGTCACCAACTTGAACAGCATCGCTATCGGTCAATGGCAGTGCTGGTGCGGTAATACCCGAGAGTTTTAAGACCGCTAAATCGTGTGTTTCATCTGTAGCTGCGATGCTTTCAACAACGTACCATTCTTCTTCACCAACTATCTTCGCGTATATTGACACAGTTCCTTTAATAACATGATGGTTGGTTGCGACTTTGTCAGTGCCAACGAAAAAACCACTACCAGCTCCTAATTCTTTGCCATCGACATCATACCCCCGAAGGTATACTGTGGATGCTAATGCTTTTTGGGCAATCTGTTGTACGCTTTGTTCAGTTGTGTTATGCTCTGGCGGAGTGATAGTTCTTTCGACTTCACTATCCTCTCCCGAGGTGTTATCCTGTAGTGCTGTGTTTAAGAGTACTTCGTTCATATTCCACTGGGTGATAGTGCCGTTTTCACTGCCGCTAACAAGAGTACTACCGTCCTCTGAAAAGATGAGGGTAGTTATGCCGGAATGAGGCATAAAGAACTCTTTTTCCTTCTTGCGTCTCCTGACAAAATCAAAAAAACTGAATTGTACCGGTTGCATCTCCAATGGCAAGAAGTTCGTTGGGCGATGAGTATGATAGAGCCGTGATGGCACCCAACGGAATATTATAGACTGTCCCTACCTCTTTGCCGGTAAGTGCGTTCCACTGACGGACCGTGCCATTTTCTTCGCCACTGAAAAGGTGGGTGCCATCAACAACGAATGTCAGAGAGGTGATAGTACTCTGAGATCCTTTTAGTATTTTTAGTTCGTTACCGCTACTAATATCCAGTAGATGAATTCTGCCATCCGCTCCGCCACTGGCGAAAGTTGTATCTGCTGGTGAAAATGCAAGTGCTGTGACCCCGTGTATATTCCCTGTCAGTGTTGTCAGTAAACTATCATTGCTGTTTTCAAGAATCTTGAGGACATCTGATAGGAAATTGTGCCGTTTTCGCTTCTACCACTCGCAATCGTTTTGCCATTCTTAGAAAAAGCAACTGCTTGGGTTAATCTTGTATGTTCTTGGAGTATTGATAATTCACTACTTGTACCTGCATCCCACAATCGAAGTTTTCCATCGAATCCAACACCGCACGCTCGGATACGATTATCTACCGTGTATGCCAAGGCTTTAACGCCGCCAGTATGCCCTGGTATCTCAATTCTTGTTCGTTTACCGATTCTATCCCATAATAATATCGTACCATCTGGGCTGCTGCTGGCAAGGGTACTGTCATCTGGTGAGAAATCGATATCCGCGACTAAATCTTTGTGTCCTATGAGGGTCAGTTTGCGATCCGCTGTGCTCGTGTCCCATAGCTGAATCAGTTTGTCTGCACTGCCGGTGGCAAAAGAGTTTCCATCAGGTGAAAATTTCACTGCATATACTGGGGCCTTATGTTGTGCTGGTGGATGGAGTTTTCCACCTTCACCGACGAGGCTCCATAAAATTGCGGTACTATCTAGACTGGCACTTACGAGTTCGGTCCTGTTACGTGAGAAATGCACTGCCTGAACGGAATCGGTGTGTTCTTTAAACTCATAAATTCGATCTCCTGTATCAGCATCCCAGACTTGAATGATGCCATCGTCACTGCCACCCGCCAACATTCTGCTGTCTGGGGAAAATGCTATGGAGCGAACGGAGTCCCGATAGGGTAGGATTGCAATAATTTTTTTATTATCGGTAGTGGCGTGAGGGTCCCAGATCCGAATCGTTTTGTCTGCGCTTCCGCTGGCAATCCTTTTGCCATCTGGTGAATATTCAACAGCGTGGATTTTTGCTGTGTGTCCTCTAAGAGTAGAAGGGGACGTTAGTTTACCGGTACTAACATCCCATAGTCTAACTGTCCAATCTGAGTGTGCAGCTGCAATGATGAGTCCACCTGGGGAGTAGGAAACCGCATTAGCACCTCCCATGATCCCTGAGAACAGTGCCTGCTCTTCGCCTGTACGGGAGTCGTAGATCCAGACACCGATGGTAGTTGCCACAGCTAACTGGTCACTGTAGGGAGAAAACTTTATGTCATGAATCCAGCCTTTGCCGAAGCGGGCTTTTGCACCTGGAGGTAAGTACAATTCCGTAAAATTTTGAGCGAAAATGTTTGGTAGGAACAGACTCATACTTAATAAAAATGCGACGACTAATACGTAAACCTTTTTCATATCATCCAGTTCCTTTTGAGATGGTTAGTTTATTTGTAGAATAGGGATCACATTCCCTAATTTTAACCCAGTTGCTGCTAACAAATTTTGAATGTTTCGATGAAGCTTTTCAGGCACTTCCCCACCCCGTAGGGGTGCTATGTCTATAGAAAACGGTGTATTTAATAAACCGCACCCCGTAGGGGTGCTATGTCCTAAATAGGTAGTAACTTACGTTAATTTTAACATGTTATTAATCTTAAGTCAATCTCTGCGGATATTCCTGAATTTTCTATTCTTGGTTTTCGGTCAGAATTAGTCGGCTATGAACTCTATCAGCATGCGTGCCGGTTCATAATTTGGATCGATTCTAAGGCATCGTTGGCAGCGTTTGTTGAGGCTGCAAAATCACGAAGTTTTAAGTGCGCGAGGGCGAGGTTGAAGTGTGCTTCCTTAAACGCTCATCAATGTTTATTGCTTCTTTGAGGGCGTTTATCGCTTCGGTGTACTTTGCTGCTCAATATAAATTACTCCCAGGTGGCAATGTGCTTCTTTAAACTTCCAGTCAATATTGATAGCATTCTTGAATGCAGCGATTGCTTGTTGTGCTGTTCTTCGTCGAAGAATGTCCATCCACGACCGTAGTAAGTTTCTTTTATCGCTGATGAAAGTTGGTGGGCACGTTGATAATTGGATCAATATTTAATGCTTGTCTTGCCTTTTTCGTTGCTTCTTCAAGTTCACCTCTTCCAAGATGTATGTAACCTTGGTCGACCAGTGGTCCGGGAACAGGAACTGGAGGCGGTGGTGGAGGCGGTGGAGGCGGTGGAGGTGGTTTTAAAACTTTCGGATAGCAGTCTCTTTAAGTTCTTGCATACGACTAAGCCATCCTCGGTTCCTGACCTCGCCACTGTCGGTATATCTCCTGTTGGCTTCCTCAACTGTGTCGATTACTGACTGCCATTTGGATCTGTTGCCAGATTTTTGTGCCCAATCCACATACACCAAAGTCAAGTAATAATAGGCTTCAATCGTGTGCATTCGGTTGCTGTAATTTCCAATAAACTTTTTGAAGGCATTAACCGATTTGTTGAACAGATTTGGGTTAGTAATAGCCGCTTTGTGGTAGCAGCGGCCTGCCCAGTAGAGTGCCTCGATGGCATCCCCGGCGGAGAGATCGCTATTAGCAAGCTGCTCATATATTTCGGCTGCTTCTAACCACCGCTCCTCCTTCCGAAAAAGTCTCGCCTTTACAAAGAGTTCATCACTGGAATTGTGTTGTCTTGTTTCGTCTGCATAGACGGGGACGAGATAGGTGAGTTGATATTTTTTGTAAATTTCTATTTTTTGTTCCTCGTCAACCGTACTGTACATGGCTTCTTCATAATTCGCACGTGCATTCACGTAATCCTCTGCCTCAAGATGAATTTCTGCTTTCGCAACGTAGGCATCAGTGACATATTTGCTGTCAGGATATTGTGTGATAAGGTCTGTGTAGAATTGATATGCCTCATGAACTCTACCCTGCTTTTTTAAATCGGAAGCGGCGTTGAAGATTGTTCGAGTTTGACGTTCTGGGTCTGGTTTCGGAGGTTTTGGCGTGGAGCCATTAGGTTCTTCGTTAGAATTTTTAGAGAACTTTTTATTTTCAAACAGCAGATCAATTTCTGCAATGCGCTGTTCTGCACCCACCTTAAAATCAGAATGTGGAAATTCGGCAATTAGTTTTTGAAAAGTCTCTCGTGCCGTGTCATAGTTTTGTTGTTGATAGTTAATCTCCGCAATAGTGTAGAGTGCTTTCGACACCCACTGGCTCTTTGGAAACTTTTCTATCAGCTCAGAGAATTTGGACTCCGCTTGATCGAGGTTTTCGGTTTTGTAGAGGGTTTCTGCCCAGAGATAGGTCAGTTCCTCCCGATACTTAACAACTTGTGTATCTAACGCGACCTCTTCAATATGCCTGAGCGCACTTTGGTAATGTCTAACATCGCTGCTATCCTCAGCGAGTTCGTAGTAGCATCGCGCGATTTTAAGGTTGGCAAGGGTGGTGAAGTCCTTATCAATCCGCTCTGTTTTGGCACCGAGCTTTTTTGATTCTTTTAGTGCCTCTTTGTATTTTACGATTGCCCCTTCGTAATCCAAGCGTTCGGACAACGCTTCAGCGGCTTCAAAAAGTCTTTCCACCTTTTGGGCACTCCCTAACACAAGAGGTGATAAAAGGGCAAGTACCAGGGCAACACCACCAATAATACCCCAAATTTTAGCGTTCATCATCGTCTCCCTGGCCGCTCTGGGGCTGGTGTTGCCGGTATAATCTTAAAAGAGAAGTTTTTAGTCGCGAGGAGTGTTCTATTCTCTCCGAACAATTGGATTTGCAAGGATTGGTCGCGTCCTTGCACTTTCTTATCAGCTGTAATAGGAATTCTGATAGTTTCTATGCTATTTTTCTTTAATTCTGGAATCAGTGTGGTTTCTAAAACGCAATCCAGCTATAGATGGTGGCTCAAACCTGAGTTCGACATTGCGGGCTGTACCTCCCTTGTTGCTGATGATTAGCCTAAGATGAGCTGTTTCGCTGGCATCAAGGAAACCGTTCCCTGAGGGTTCCTCTAAAGAGGCTGCTATCGAAAGATCGGGAATCGGTGGAGGTACTCGGTGGCTTAGGTTTGAACACAAAGAAAGCGACTACTGCAATAATGCCTAAGATAGCGGCATAGGACAATCCTTTTTTCCAAAGTTTTCGTTTGCGCAGACTTCTTTCAACAACCTTTATTGTGGTGAGGAGTTCGTGGACAAGTTGAGGATCGGCTTTGAGTTTCGACGCTTCTTCCGCTGCGGTTTTTGCGTCATCGAGTGCGCCCATCTCCAGATAAGCGACACCTAAACTGTAGTGTGCATCTGCAAAATTCGGATCTGCCTTTATCGCTCTTTTGAATGCGGCAGCGGCTTCGTTATACTGCCCGTTATTGAGGAATGCTTCTCCGCGTTCGTAGTGCTTTTTTACATCCACTACGTTTGAGGAAGTGCCAGTTGGTTGCGGAGATTGGGTTGACCGTACCTGTTTGATATCGTCAGAAGTTGACGCGCGGGTTGGGAATTAGCATCAATCCTTAACGCCGCATTCGCTGCGGTTTCTGCGTCATCGAGTCGTCCCGTTTCAAGATAGACTTCACCTAAACCCATATATGCTGCTGCAAAGTCGGGATCCAGATCTATTGCTTTCGGAACTCCGCGATTGCCTCTGTGTGCATTTTCGCGTCTCGGTAAGCGATACCGAGTTCATAGTGCGTTTGCTGTCTCGGTTTCGCAGCTGGCTGTTGCTTTGCAGGTTGCTCCGGTTCTGATGGCGTGGCAGGTTGTGTTCAGGTGGTGTGAAACTCGGATCGATGGCTTCCAAAAGGGAGCGTGCGGGTTGATAATTCACGTCCAGTTTCAACGCATCTCTCGCTGCCTCTCTTGCCTTTCCGAGATCCTGCTGTCCCAAGTAGGCGAGGGCAAGTGCATGGTGCGCCGCTTTATAACTGCGATCCAGAGTTATTGTCTTCTGAAGTGCATCTACCGCGCGGGAGTAGGTTTCCATCTTCAGGTAGGTTAACCCCAAGTTGTAGTGCGCAGTCGTGAAATCAGGATCGAGTGTTATGGCGTTCTGAAAGGCTGTAATGGCTTCGCTATAACGTTCATCGTTGAGGTAGGTGATACCTCTGTTGTAGTGCGCCTGTTTTATCAAGTTCGCGAGTTCATGTGCGCGTTGATAGTTGGAGTCGAGCCTTAATGTCTCTGTGACGGCATGTGTCGCCGCTTCCAAATTGCCTGATTCTCGGTAGGCACGTGCGAGGTTGTAATGTGCGCGTTTAAGGTTCGGAGCAATCGCTATGGCACGTTCAAGATGCGGTATCGCTTGGTCATAGTGTCCTGTTCGACGTAAGCATAGCCGAGGTTGTAATGGGCATCGACGAGATCGGCATCTAAGGCTATCGCGTTTTGTAATGCGTCGATTGCCTCCTGATATGCCTTCAGTCCGATGTAAGCGGCACCGAGATGGGCATAGATATGCTTGTTTTCAATTCGGAGACCTGCGAGCCGCGCCCCAAGTCTTCGGCAAGGATGAGTGCTTTCTGAAATGTGGAGACGGCTTCGGTATAGCGTTCAGCGTTGAGATGTTCTTTGCCCCTGTCGTAGTATGCTTGTGTTATGGTGTCACACAGAGCAGTGCGGGTTGGTGAGTGGCATCGAGTTTTAACGCCGCTGTGACCGCGGTGCTGGCTTTCTCTAATTCATCCTGTTCAAGGTACGCGCGGACAGAGCGCGCAGTGCGCACCTATGAAATCCGCATCCAACTTTATGGCGGCTTCAAACTCAGGGACGGCTCTGTTGTATTGTCCCGCCTCCAGATAAGCGATACCGAGGTTATAGTGAGCCTCTTTTATAGCGTTCATGTGTTTGGGAAAGAAGAAGGTTGTTTTCGGGTTAATTTTAGTGGTATTTTACCAGATCTGCTTTAATGTTGCAAACAAAAATCTTGAGTGCAGTTCAATTCTGAAGTATAATGGCGTTGTGAATTTGTAGGGTAAAACGACACACACCTTGACTGGGGACTATCTATGCAGCAACACTCGCCTGCCCTCTCTACGTCTCCTCCTCGGAAAATCCGTTGGCGGATTATTTGGCTTGGGCTCGCGCTGATTCCCTTCAATAACTATTGGGTCTTCGCATCGCTGCGTTGGGATCAAGGGTTCCCGACAACGATGTCCCTCTTTTTCAATACCATCTTCGCACTCGCCGTCCTGATTGCCCTCAATACATTCCTTCACCGGTTCGCACCGCGCGCCGCACTCACCCAAGGCGAATTGCTGACGCTCTACGCAATGCTATCCGTTGCATCGGCTATCTGTGGGCATGACCTGTTTGAGGTAATTATTACGAATATCGCCACAGTCGGTTGGTTGACGACAGAGGAGAATGAGTGGGGGACGCTTTTCCATCGCTATCTTCCAGATTGGCTCGCCTTGACGGACAAGAACCGTTTGACTGTCTATTTCACAGGCGAATCCAGCCTTATCTGCGTCCGCATCTTGAGTTGTGGTGGCGACCTGTGCTTGCGTGGAGCGGGTTTATTATTGTCCTGCTTTTCACGACGTTTTGCATCAACGTTATACTACGAAGACAGTGGATTGAAGTGGAGCGGCTCAGTTATCCGATTATTGAGTTACCCTATCAGATGACAACGACGCGTTTCTTCCGCTCAAAACCGTTGTGGGTCGGCATCATCCTCGCAGGCGGGATAGATGTGGTTAACGGACTGCATTTTCTATTTCCAAACTTTCCGGGACTCGGTGGTGAATTCTATGATCTGCATCCACTCTTTACGACGAAACCGTGGAATGCGATCGGTTGGACGCCAATCGTTTTTTTTCCCTTCGTTGTCGGTATGGCGTATTTTATCCCACTTGACCTTTCGTTTACATTCTGGTTTTTCTATATCTTCTGGAAGTTCGAGATGATCTTCGGGAAGTATCGCCGGCTTGCAGCGGATTCCGGGGTTTCCCGTTCATCTTCGACCAGTCGTTCGGGGTTTGTGTCGGTGTCCTGTGTATGGCGTTGTGGAGTGCGCGGGACCATTTGCGGAATGTCCTCAGGCAAGCGTGGCATGGAAACAGAAGAACAGAATCCAACGAACCGATGTCCTATCGCGCTGCGGTATTGGGACTGATCTGTGGCTTTCTGCTCCTCACCGGTTTTTGGTGGGTTGCGGGGATGTCTTTCTGGGTGGCGGTGCTCGTCTTTGCTATCCATCTGACGACGGTGACGGTGATTACACGCGTCCGTGCGGAACTGGGTCCGCCGATCCACGACTTACGCTCTATGGGACCCGATGTCTTACTTCCCAAAATATTTGGAATGCGTAGGCTCGGAGGACAGAATCTGGCGCTGTTTTCGCTGATATTCTGCTTCAACCGTGCGTATCGGGGCAATACAATGCCGCACCAGTTAGAGGGCTTGAAATTGGCGGAACGGTCGCGTAATTCTACGCGTCGGATTGCCATCGCGATGCTCCTCGCGATGGTCCTAAGCCCCTTTGCTGCGTTTTGGGGCGCGCTTCATCTCGGTTATGAGAGTGGGGCGATAGAGGTCTGGTCGGGTTCTGTGTTTAACCGCACCCAGAATTGGCTGACAAATCCGATGCCTGTGAACATTCCGTCGTTAATCGCGATGGTTTGCGGATTTCTGTTCGCGTTTTGTCTTACTTTGGTGCGGCTCCGTTTTTTCTGGTGGCCCCTGTATCCTATTGGATACGCCATCTCTGGGACATGGGCGGTGAACTTCTTCTGGTTTTCGGTGTTTATCAGTTATTTCGTCAAGTTGGCAATTCTGCGATTTGGTGGTGTGCGGACGTTTCGACGGGTCGCACCGTTCTTTTTAGGGCTGATTTTGGGTGAATTCTTGGTAGGGAGCGTCTGGGGACTGCTCGGTATTTTCATGGAGAAGCCGATGTATCGGTTTATTTGGTGAAAAACCACCTCCACCGATTTTCACTTGACAAAGAGTCATGGATTCCCTTAAAATATAGTAAGATTTCTACCTATCGGGTATGCCACGATATGCTCGCAAATTGAAGGTTTTCGAGACTTAACTATGGGACAAATACAACAACTTCATCGAATTACAATATGGGGTGTCGGCTTAATCGGAGGGTCGCTTGGACTCGCACTAAAAAAGAATGGATTTCAAGGGCAACGTGTCGGGTTAGGGCGGAACATCGGTAGGCTTGAGAAAGCACTCCAATACGATGCGGTTGATGTGGTTACGACAGAGATGGCGGAAGGGCTACGTGGCAGCGACCTTGTTGTACTGTGTACGCCTGTTGAACTGGTGCCCGTGTTGGTACAGCATGTTATTGAAGTTGTTGGCTCGCAGCAGTCTATGGTGCTGACGGATGTTGGTAGTACGAAATCGGTGTTAGTGCAGACGGTCGAGGCGCAGCTGAGGGAACACGGCTCGAATACCATTTCGTTTGTAGGCGGGCATCCGATGGCAGGCTCGCACGAAACCGGCGTCGGCGCAGCGCGGGCAACACTATTTGAAAACGCCACGTGCCTTGTGACACCTACAGAAAGTACGGATTCGGATTCCCTCCAACAGGTCAGAAGTCTATGGGAATTTGTCGGAGCAGTCCCACATCTCCTCTCTCCTGAAATCCATGATCTGCTCATCGGTGCCGCAAGCCACCTACCACATCTCATTGCGAGTTTACTTACCAATACTGTTGCGAATGTGGAAACGGAGCATCATAAAGCGTTGGACTTCACGGCGACCGGCTTTCGGGATTCCACACGTATCGCGGCGGGTTCGCCTGACTTATGGACCGGCATTTTTTCCCAAAACAGAGATGTCCTTTTATCACTCATTGATGACATCGTTGACAACTTAAGCGAATTCAAGACCTTGCTTCAGACCGATAACCGTGTCGAGATTGAACGTGTACTTCTCGAGGCACAAGTTATCGTCGAAAAGCGCAAAAAAGTATTAGGAGGCTCATGAAGAAGACGGGATCTCAGGTGACGATTGCGATGGATGGACCCGCCGGGTCTGGGAAAAGCACGGTAGCTCGATGCATCGCAGAAAAACTCGGATTGCTTTACCTCGATTCTGGAGCAATGTACCGAGCGGTGACCCTGTTGGCAATACAGGAAGAACTGGCGGCGGATAGCCCGAAACTGATTGACAGCGTGAAAGCGTGTCATATTGAATTCATGGATAATGGCAGAACGATTTTGCTTGATGCCGAAGATGTGTCCAAACAGATCCGAACGCCAGCTGTCAATAGGTTGGTTGCAGATGTCGCGAAAATTCCAGAGATTCGTCATGAAATCGTGAAACATCAACAGCGGATTGGTGCCGAAGGGAGCATTATCGCTGAAGGTAGGGATTTAACGACTATCGTTTTTCCGAACGCCGATTTTAAATTCTATCTTGATGCTTCTGTGACAGAGCGTGCAAAACGTAGACTCGCCGATCTCCATGCACAAAACATAGACGCGACGTTAGCAGCGGTTGAAGCAGAGATTCGCGAGCGAGATGAAAAAGATACGACGCGAGAACACAGTCCTTTGCGGACGGCTCCTGATGCGGTTGTCGTTGATACGACTGATAAGACGATTGAAGAAGTGGTTGATTTGATTATCGCACACGTGTGTGCAAACGAGCAGTGACGGGAACGCAGGAGGGGTTTGTAACCCCGATTAACGCAGGAGGGGTTTGTAACCCCGATATTTTTATGCGGTGATAGTAAAGTAGGAGGGGTTTGTAACCCCGATATTTTTATGTGGTATACCAATAATCAGTTTTGGACATCCCGTGCGATTTATCGATGGGGTCATCGATTCACAAACTTTTTCTGTAAAACTTTTGGGCACCTTGAAGCGCGAGGCATTCACCATATTCCGAGAAAAGGTGGGGTGCTGCTTGTTTCGAATCACGTCAGCTTTCTTGACCCAGTTATCGTAGGTTCTGCCGCCAACCGCGAGATTCATTATATGGCGCGGAGTAATGCATTCGACATTCCCGGCTTAGGAAAACTCATCTCAGCCTATAATGCCTACCCCGTCAATAGAGGTGCCCCTGACTTAGGGGCGTTGCGGCGGACTATTTCGCTTTTGCAAGCTGGTAACGCTGTGCTTATATTTCCCGAAGGCACTCGTAGTGTCGATGGCACATTAGGTAAGGCGCGGGACGGTGCTTGTTTTATTGCACACCGAGCAGGGGTGCCCACTATTCCTGTTTTCCACAGTGGTGCGGAACGGATGTTGCCGCGCAACAGTAAATGGCTGCGCCGGTCAAAGTTAACTGTCGTCTTCGGTGCCCCTCTTGAACTCACTACCGAAGAATTTGAAACCAAGCGCGAGATGTACCAACAGATGGGTAATCAGATGATGGAGGCAATCGCGAATTTGCGGGATAACGTGCTTAGTTAGTTGGATTTGCCAGAATTAGTAAAACGTCGCCTTCTTGGACTTGGTAGGTTTTGCCTTCAGCTCTCAGCAAACCTTTACTTCGCGCTTGCGGATAACTGCCGCATGCTATTAAGTCAGCCCAATTAATTGTTTCAGAACGGATGAAACCTTTTGCAAAATCGGTGTGTACACGTCCGGCTGCATCCACAGCAGTTTGCCCCTCACGCAGTGTCCATGCTCGTGTCTCGACTGGACCGGTTGTAAAGAATGTTAACAGCCCTAATAACCGATACGAAGCCTGGATGAACCGCTCTAAGGCAGATTCGTGCAATCCCATTTCCTCCATGAAGATCTCGGTATCCGTTTCATCAAGTTGGGACAGTTCCATTTCCAGCTGTGCCGCGAGTACAATGACTTCCGTTTGTGGTTCCGTCTTATATTTAGCAAAGCGTTCGAGAATTTCAGTCAGCCGCGTCCAGTTGTGTTTCACCGATATTGCAGACTAACAACAACGGTTTCTGTGTCAAAAACCCGTAACCGCGTATCAACTTCTCTTCATTGGCAGATAGATCGAGGATTCGGAGCGGTTTTCCAGCTTCTAAGGTCTTCTGACACGCCTCTAAAAGTTTAATTTCACTTAGCTGTTCCGGAAGTTTCTGATTTTGAAATTGCTTACGGAGTCGGGTAAGTCTACCTTCAACGATCTGAAAATCTGCCAATGCGAACTCAAGGGCGACGCTTTCAATATCGCGTTCTGCGTCAACGTTTCCGTCAACGTGTGGAACCGTTTCGTCTTCAAAAAGCCTGACCACATGTGCAAGGGCATCGACTGTGCGGAGTTCTGAGAGCATTCCAGAATCTAACTCCGCTTGTTCCATATCCGTTTTGGTTACCCCGGCAACGTCTACGTAGTCAATTGTAGCGGGCGTTGTTTTTTTAGATTCGGATATCTTTGTTATCTGTGCCAAGCGTTCGTCTGGGACGTTGGCAGTACTCAGGTTTATTTGCCCACGGCTGGTGTAGCCCCCAATTTCTGCGTTGGATTGAGCTAAGATATTAAACACTGTCGTTTTTCCGACCTGTGGTCTGCCTACAATTCCGATTTTCATTTTTGTGTTAACCTATTTGTTTCGCGAGTAAGGTGCTAATCTCGTCGGTGCTACAGAAAAATCTGTTGACAACATGCGTCTTAAGTATTAAGATAAGTGTTAAATAAAAAGCCAAACAGTAGCCTGCAACACCGGCGCAGGCGGATATGAGGAAGGCACGAAATAGACATAACAACCGTGCTTCCTCCGCAAGGAACAATTAAAAAGCCTGCAACACCGGCGCAGGCGGATTTAAGGAACGCATCCGATAGTTTTAACGTGCGTTGTTTAACCGCAAGGAATAATTAAAATATGGCAGCTGAGAAAGGAACGTGGAAGCGGCACATTATCAAAGGTTTGACGGTTCTCTTAATCCTCACGGTATGTCTTGCCGTTTTGCAATGGTTTATCATCAAAGAATTATTTAGTTTCGGCGCGGACATGGTGAAGGATGCGCTGATTCGGCAAGCCCCTGAAGGGGTGGACCGGTATGACATTGAGGCTACGTTTGATCGGGTCAAAACCGCTGGAATGCAGCTACCGTTTAGTTTCCTTATGGGAAAAATCAGTCTCCGTAAAATCAGAGCTGTTGGCAGATATGCGATAGAAGCGAACGCTGATGAATCTTGGGATGCCGATGAAATTAATACACTCCTGCGGATGATGGATGCCTCTGTCGGAGTTAAAGGAGGAACCGAGTAACTTGCATTATCAGTTTGCAAGCGACACTTAAACAATGCGGACACACCTAACTCCCCCTTACGAGAAATTCGCCTACGCCTACGACAGGATAATGACAAACGTCAACTACACGCGTTGGACCCATTACATTGAATCGCTTTTCGAGAAGTATGATTGCAAACCACGCACGGTTCTGGATTTGGCATGTGGCACCTGTGCTTTGACTATAGAACTCGCATTGAAAGGCTATGAGATGACTGGGGTGGAGCGGGCAGTTGGTATGTTGGACATTGCGAAGGAAAAAGCCGCGGCGCACGATGTAAATATCGAACTCCATTACGGTGACATGCGCGAGTTCCAACTGAACCAACGATTTGACGCAATCCTCTGCACCTACGATAGCATTAATTATGCTTACGATGAAACCGAATTAAGCAACGTGTTTCAGTGTGTTGCTGAGCATCTCGAACCGGACGGCTTATTTATCTTTGACGTGACAACGGAACGGAACATCGTTGAGCATTTTCACAACAAAACGTTCGCGTCAAATCATGATGATTATACCTACATCTGGAAAAACAACTACCTCCATGATTCCAAGATGTGTCAAACGGTCCTAACCTTTTTCATCCGAGAGGGGGATCTGTTTCGCCGCTATGAGGAGGTGCACCAGCAGCGAATCTTTGAAGTCAGCACCGTCAATGACCTGCTCAAGGGCTCTGGCTACAAGCCGATGAGTGCTTACGACATGTACACCTTCAATCGTTGGAACCGCTATTCAGATCGGATTAATTTTACCGCACGTTTGCTCTGAACGTTCGCGAGTGGTCTTGCCATTCAAAAAAACGATTGTAGGGGGTTTTGCTTGGGTGTTTCCGGTCTTGTGCCTGCCCGTATATTACAACCCTTCTGCAACAAGGTCGCCTACTTCCTCAGTGGTGTAGCCCATTCGTCCGGCACCCAGATCCTTGATTTTTCCGCTTGCGAGCAGGTCACTGATAGATTTCTCTACTTTTGTTGCCGCTTCTGCATACCCAAGGTGGTCGAGCATCATTCCAGCTGCGCCTATCGCAGCGATGGGATTAATCTGATTTTTGCCGGTGTAACGTGGTGCTGAGCCGTGAATCGGTTCAAACATAGCGACGCTTTCTGGGTTCAGGTTGCCGGATGCGGCGACCCCCATGCCTCCCTGAATCATCGCACCGAGGTCGGTGATAATGTCTCCAAACATGTTACATGTCACAATGACATCGAACCACTCCGGATTTTTCACCATCCACATTGTTGTCGCATCGACAAAGGCATATTCTTTCTTGATATCAGGGTAATCTTCCCCTACCTCGTCAAAGACGCGGCGCCACAGATCGTGTGCGTAGGTGAGGACGTTTGCTTTGTCGCAGAGCGTCAGCGTATTTTCCTTGTTGCGCTTTTGGTGAGCTCAAACGCATAGCGCACGCAGCGTTCTACGCCTTTGTAAGTATTAATCATTTCCTGAATCGCGACTTCATCACGTGTGCCACGTTTTAGGAAACCACCGATGCCAGCGTATAAGCCTTCGGTATTCTCGCGAACAATGATGAAATCAATTTCTTCAGGTCCCTTGTCTTTCAGGGGCGTTGGGACACCGGGGTAGAGTTTGACGGGGCGGAGGTTGATGTAGAGATCGAGTTCAAACCGGACTTTGAGCAGAATGCCTTTCTCTAAAATACCGGGTTTGACATCGGGGTGCCCGATTGCGCCGAGGTAGATAGCGTCTAAACCTCGGAGTTCTTCTAAAACTGAATCCGGCAACACTTCGCCGGTTGCAAGATACCGGTCGCCGCCGACATCATATTCGACTGTTTCGTATTGGATTCCGGCTTGTTCGGCTGCTGCCCCGAAGACCTTCATTGCTTCTCGCGTCACTTCGGGGCCGATTCCATCGCCAGGGATGAGACCGATTTTGTACATAAATTTTCTCCAAGTGTTAGTATGATGAATTTCGGCGTAGCTTGCAAGCCGAAACTTGCTATAGAAAAGTGAACTCCTTATATTTTACCACATTTGGGACGATATTGCAAATTGGGTAGAACTTACGCATTTCCCCTTAAAGTTCCCCTGATAAGGAGGATTTAGGCGGTTAAATAAAACGAAATACTCTGCGCAAGCCTCTATAGGAAACCTGCGGGACAATGCGAGGCATTTTCAGTAAAATATATCCTTTCTCTGCTCAATTGAATCCTTTAATCCTGTAAATCCTGATTCAGACAACGAACACCGCACATTACCGAATTAAATTCTGAATCTTCATGAAACCTCGCCAGGGAGTACGGGGATTTCCGTAAGTCCTATTAGATTCACTCATATGCTTTCACAACAGTGTATTGCTGCGGTTGGCCATCAACAATTTTCAACACGCGGATACCGGAAGCAGGTTTGACAGGATGACGGTTCCCATTAAAGCCGGAAATAGCTGTCGCCCCTTGGTAGTCAGTGATAGCAGCAACTGCGTCCCGAATCATAACAGGGTCTGTTGATTGGGCGTTTTCAATCGCTATTGCCAATAACCGCATGGCATCGTAACCTAATGGCGCGATACCAATAGCCTGATTTTTAAACATTGTTTCATAAGCGTCCGTAAAATCTGCAGCAAGTTCATCCGAGATACTACAATAGTAGGAATTTTCGAGAGGGGTGTTATCCTCTAAAATGTCTAACATCAACGAATCATCCCAACCATCACTGCCGATAAAGATGGACTTAATGCCCATCTCCCGTGCCTGTTTCACTATGATCGGGTTCTCTGGCGGAAAACTTGCGAGAAGCAGGAACATCAGGGTTTGCCTCTTTGATGATCCCAAGTTGTCCATCAAACATTGTATCGCCTTGTTCATAGATTTGATTGGCAACAATGCGACCGCCAAGTTCCTTGAAATCCGCATCAAATGCGTTAACGAAACCTTTAGAGTAGACATCCCCGTTCTGCCAAATCATCGCTGCAGTTTTCTTTCCGAGGTCGTTCACCACAAAACCTGCCATGACTTTTGCTTGCAAGGCATTTGAATTCGCCACGAGAAAGAGAAAATCTCTCGGATCATTCCCAGTATTCGTCACGTCAGCACCTGTTGCACCCACAATGACAGGGATATTGATGATCGGTCCAACTTTAACAGCACTACTTGAAAACATCGGACCTAATATAGCGACAACATTTTCCATTTCAGCTAATTCTGTTGCAGAATCAGCAATGGTTCCTGTTTCCACTTTATAGATAAGCTCTACCTGCCTCCCAAGAACACCGCCTGCCTTGTTGATTTCGGCTAAGGCGAGTTTTGCACCGTCGCCAAAAGTGGCGTAATTTAGCAACGGATGAATCAAACCCACTTTAAGTGTAGGCATCGGTTCTTCAGTTATTCCGACATCTTCCGTTCTCTCCTCCCCAGAAAGGTAAGCGACTGAGAGTACGAGTAATACGCATAGTGTTAACCTAAAAATTTTCGGATTCATAAACTGCTCCTATGTTTTTAGACCCACGCACCCAGTGCAGGATAGTCTAATGTGCTGTTTGAGGGTTTTCGGTTAGATAATGATGGGCTGGCAATCTATTCTAATGCTGATGCCCCATCAGTGTTCAATCTTCAAAAGTATAACAAGTGTAAGAAAATAGTCAAGAAAAAATTAGAGGATTTAATGACCCTGAGATGAGAGGATTTGGTGTTTCCGCAAAAAGTAAGGATGTGGTATAATGGTTATTCACATTGCAGTGTATTTGAGCACTGGAGGAGCACATTGATTAGCGAAGCGCGCCTGAAGACAATTCTCAATCAATTTCAAGATCAACGTATCCTCGTTGTTGGCGATTTTTACCTTGATGCCTACTGGTACATAGACAAAACCCGTTCAACACTATCGTTGGAAACACCGTGGCATACCAATCCCGTTGTTGAGCAACGCTATAGCCCCGGTGCGGCGGGGACAGTCACAAATAACCTGAAGGCGTTAGGTGTAGGTGCAGTCTATACATTAGGTGTTATGGGTGAAGACGGATTTGGTGGGACGCTGCTGGATTGTCTACAGACGAACGGGTGCCTGACGGATTTTATGATACAGGTGCCGGAGTGGGTAACGCCTACCTATCTTAAACCGATTCATCGTGGCTATGAAGGTGTGGAGACGGAGGGACCGCGGTTCGATATTGAGAACAAATCGGCGATGGATGAGGCAGTCGAAACTACTGTTATTGATGCCTTGCGAGAGTGTATACCGCTTGTTGATGGTGTAATTGTCGGGGATCAGATGCCGATTGAGAACTTAGGCGTTGTCACCAACCGAGTGAGAGAAGAGTTATGCGAGTTGGGATTGGCGTTTCCTGATAAAATCTTTTTCTCGGACTCCCGCACGCGGATTGGCAAGTATCGAAACGTTATCATTAAACCGAACCGGTTTGAGGCGAAACGTGCTGTTCAGCCAGAGTGGAGCGGACAGGAGGTTGACATCGAAGAGGCAAGGCAGTGCGCGGTTGCACTCGCAGAACAGACCCAAAGGACGGTGTACGTCACCCTCGGTGAAAACGGTATTCTCGTCTACAGTGAAGGTGAGTTTACACATATCCCCGGTATTCCCATTGATGATGAGATTGATCCTGTTGGGGCGGGTGACAGTGTTTCAGCGGGACTCGTCGCAACGCTCTGTAGCCTACGCACTTCACAAGCGGAGGCATCTATTGAAGCGGCTTATGTTGGGAATCTGGTGGCTTCCATTACCGTCACCAAAATCGGGACCACCGGTACAGCGTCACCCGAAGAAATCCTACAACGGCATCAGGACTACGTGAAGTTATGAATATTTTTGACGCAATAACACAACGACGCAGCCATCGCGGTACGTTTCAGAACCGCCCAATTGATACCGCAGACCTCGAAAAACTTATTGAGGCGGCGCGGTGGACCCCCTCACCATTCAATGTTCAACCTTGGGAGCTTGTGCTGATTCGAGAAGCAGAAGGCAAGGCAGCACTCGCTGAGGTAACGGAGCGCGCTATCGTTGAACAATTCAAAGATGCCAAGTTTCTTGATGACAACAGCCGTTGGATGCGTCTCACAGAGGCGAATTTGAAAGCCTTAGGTGATGGTGTGCTGCTTACGGATCACGTTACGCTGCCGAAATTGCTTCAGGACGCGCCGGACAAATTATTGGAGGGGGTGTTGAAAAACGCGAAGTCATTCACACTTTTGGGGCATTTAGGAGCAGGAAAAATACCCGCGAAAGAGATTGCAACACAAGTTCGTGAGGCACCACTACTCATGCTGATTACGATGAATTGCAAGAGATACCCCCCTGGGGACGGAGGAACGCGATGGATGTGGTTGAGCATGGGGATGTTAATTCAGAATGTGCTTCTCGCTGCAACTGCTTTGGGCATCGGTGTACAGTTTGTCAGTGCCCCATTGGAACGCCCCACGGATCGTGAACGGGTTCGGCAACTTTTCAATATTCCTACTTCTCATGAAGTGATTACGTTGCTCAGGATGGGATATATTGAAGAGAGTCGTAGCGACTCTGTCCGGTTACAGCCATCAGAGTTTGTTCACTTTGAAAAGAGAGAGTAGACGGGCACAGCGACCCGCCGTTGCACCGCTGGCGAGGTTTCCCAACCTCGCCGATTCCTAAACTCACGTTAGCGCACGCTGGCACAGCGACCCGCCGCTATCGAAATATAGTGTATTAAGCTTAGCTGTTTTGTAAGAGTTCTTTCAGTGCTACTTTCTTTTTTTTCAGTCGTCGTTGTTGACGTTGGCGGATTTGTGTCCGACGTCGGACCTGTCCGCTTTTACTCCGTGGCATAATATTACCCCCTTTCTTCGATTGTTTTGGCGAGGTACATGACTGCCGATGTACACTGCGCTTCTATCTCTGCCATTGCGATGGTAAGTTCTGCTTCTGAGCGTGCGTGTAACTGCAGCCGCTCTTCGGTGACCGTGATGTAGCGTTCGTTTTCCACATCAACAAATTCAACCTGTTCTTCGCTTTCATTCACCAAAGCGTAGTTAGCGAGCCCCTCTTGTAAGGACGGATCGTCTGTCCGCTCCTCGAAACTCTCTTTTATTGCCAAGCCGTTGAAATTTTTATAAAGTGCCCGAGCAGGAAGTTCGTCGGGTGAGACCGGCGGTATTGCTATCTCTGAAGTAGGTGTACCGGAGAGATCGACTGGATCTGAAAGCGGTGCCGGATCGGTTATCGCAGTATTTACCGTGTCAAAATGCGGCGAAGCCGGTTCTGTTAAATTAGATTCGGTGTCCTTTTCCTTGTGGTGTTCCTGATTTTTTGCAGTGTCTGAAAAGACGGAAATCGGTTGAGATTGGTAGGCTTCTGACTCTTTGTATTCCAGAACATCTGAAAGGATTTCCTTAACCTCCTCACGTCTGTCAATAATCATATCCGGTTCTTCCACAAGTATCCGTAGGGTTTCAATACCGATAGTTTGGATCATCGGGTGGAATGCCAGGATTTCCGATGGGGCAGCTTCAAAAAGCGAGCGGGTGACAAAAGCCACCTCTGCAAGTTCTCGGTTACCTATTAACTTAAGACGTTTTTCACACGCCGTGAGTGCTTGCACTAATTGTTGCATAAAGTCCGGTGTAACAAGATGTGGGAGCACTTCTAATCGAAAATGTTCGCAGGCGCGTTCCGCTTCCGGTAAAGGATTTAGTTCCTCTTCACTCGTTGCTTCTTCTGTTACATTTGTTAGATGGATGAGGTCTTCTTCAAATTCGGCTGTGAGGGCGTTTGTCTTGTCGGCTTGGTAATTATCGAGTACTTCCGTCACCCGTGTATACATCAGTTCAAAATCGAAAAGAACGCCTTCAAGTTCAGGTTCGTTGAGGAGCTTACGGCTCTGTGAGATACAGGCGTGTAAATGCTCCTCTTCTGACTTTTCATAAGGAAGTCTACGTTGCTTTTCGACAGCAAGCTGTTTTTGCCTAAATTTCCGGTCGCGGTTTCGTTTTTCGCGCTTCCGTGCCACATTTATGGAGCGGCGTCCCTTTTTCTTTGCCATGGTAGTATTGTTCGCTATTATTGTTCGCTATTAAGGTAACTATTGGGTGAACTTTTTTAAGGATTTCTTTATATTCCAAACGTAGCGTAACATCAAGTTTAACGTGCTATAAATAAGTATATACCAATACAAATTTATTGTCAAGTTTAAATTTTTTAAGAGCGTATAGTGTTTTGGGTGAGGCTCTCCGTTTGTTCGTAGAGCGGAGACAGATGAAAAACGCAGCTAATATTGCTAAAAAAAACCGTATCAAGTCAAATTGAATTTATGTCTCAATTGTTTGGCACTAATGCACTAATCATGGTCATCTTCTAAGATTTTGTTAATACTAACTTCTCTATGCTTAGAGGCTTGACTAAAGAGAAATTTTGTGGTATTATATGTTATTAAAGTTGTAAGGCTACATTTAACGTGAATTTGATAGGGAAAATAGGACAGATTGTGTTATTACAATACTGTCTGTGTAAAGAGAGTAACCCAATTACCCTCTTGATGCGTCAAATTCTTAATTTGAATACGCGCTAATTGTAGTACATCTTATGAGGGAAAGCGTGGGATGTTAACTACGTTTTCGTGTTTTATTTTATAGATAGCAGTTTTCAAGGTTGACGTTTGCGTCAAAAATCAAAAGAGGAAGATTTTATGTATTATAGCAAGTACGTTAAGCCGATTGTTTTCGCGCTCAGTATCTTTATAGTCATTTTAATGGGCATGTTTACGACGGTTATAGCACAGGAAGAAGCCAGCGATGCTGAGGAAGCAGAAGCCGCCGACGATGCTGAAGCATCTGAAGAAGAATCTCAAACTAGCACTCCTGTGAGGCTTGAAAGTCTCGTTGTCGTAGGTTCGCGTTCAAGACCTCGTTCAATACTTGAGTCCCCAGTGCCGGTCGATGTTGTGTCGAAAGACGACTTTGCCAGACAGGGTGGCGCAGATTTAACCGATCTCTTGAGAACCCTGGTACCGTCTTTTAACATCAATACACAACCGATTAGTGATGCGTCAACAGTGGTACGTCCGGCGAATTTACGGGGGCTTGCCCCAGATCATACGCTGGTACTGGTCAATGGTAAGCGGCGACACCGTGCCTCAGTGATTCACTGGCTCGGGAACGGTTTATCTGATGGTTCACAGGGGCCTGATCTGTCGCCTATTCCGGCAATCGCGCTGAGACAGGTTGAGATCCTACGAGATGGAGCATCCGCACAATACGGTTCTGATGCCATTGCTGGGGTGATGAATTTTCAATTGAAAGACAACCACGAAGGCGGTTCGTTTGAATTCAAACCCGGTATCTACCAGTACGGCGATGGTCGGCAGTTTGCTGCCGCTGGCAACATCGGTTTAGGGAACCCAGAGGCATGGACGAATCTCAGTTTTGAATATGGTGGCGCAGATCCGACTATCCGGTCTGTCCAACGTACTGATGCTTTAAACATGATTAACGCAGGTAATTTCAGTGTGAAAGATCCTGCGCAAATTTGGGGACAGCCGATTGTGGAGAATGACTTCAAATTCTTCGCCAACTACGGTGCTTCCCTCACAGATACCATCAATTTCTATGGACATGCTAACTACGCCCGCAAGCGGGTTGAAGGCGGATTCTATTTCCGAAATCCCAATACTCGCAGTGGCGTGTTTAGCACGACCGGTGGAAAGACGTTGCTCGTCGGGGATTTGCGAGGTTTGACAGCCGAGACGGCGGCTTGGGAAGCCCGAAAGCAGGAAGCGGAGGTTGCCGGGAATGAGTTTACCGAACTGTCGCCTCACGATGCTGACGATATCCCGATAACCAACCACGTTCCTGATCCAGAACGGTTGCAAGCCGTCAAGAGTGACCCGAACCTATTCACATTCCAGGAGATGTTTCCAGGGGGATTCACGCCCAGATTTGGCGCGTTCGCTTGGGATAGTTCCGTCGCCGTTGGCGTTAAGGGCACTGCTCTGGAAGAAGCGTTAGGCAAACCCCTAACGTGGGATGTGAGTGGTTCTTTTGGACGGCACCATGCCGATTTCTTTATCTTCAATACCGTCAATGCTTCCCTCGGACCGGATACACCGACATATTTTGATCCCGGTGACTATATCCAGACGGATTATAACCTCAACTTTGATGTAACGTATCCGTTGCACGACCTGGTGTTTCTCGCTTCTGGTTTGGAATATCGGGATGAAGGGTTTGAAATCATAGAAGGGGAACGCGAGTCGCATCAGATCGGGCCCCTCGCTGCTCAAGGTTTCACTGCTGCCTCCAACGGATTTTCAGGGTTCAGCCCGGTCGCAGCAGGAAATTGGCACCGCTCTAATGTTGCTGCCTATCTGGAAACTGAAATCAGACCGATTGATCCGCTGCTGCTCGCGCTTGCTGTACGCGGTGAACAATTTGAGGGCTTCGGTAGCACGCTGAACTATAAAGTCGCTGCGAACTACAAGGTTACTGAAACGATGCGGTTGCGGGGAAGTTATAGTACCGGGTTCCGAGCACCGACACCCGGGCAGCAAAATGCGTTCAACATTACCACTGAATACGATTTTGCGAAGGGTGATCTCGTTAATAACGGAACAATTCCTTCCACTAACGCTGCTGTTGGTATTGTGACAGGCAAGGAAGATAACTCGCTTGACCCGGAAACATCAAATAACTTCACAGGTGGATTTACCGTTGATATTTTGGGCGTAAATTTCACGCTGGACTTTTTTGGTATTCGGCTGAAAAACCGGTTATCTGTGTCACAAGACTTTACATTGACTGCAGGGCAGAAGACGCAGCTCATCGCTGAAGGTGTAACCAGTGCGGCGAATCTGGAAAAATTCCGGTTCTTTATCAATGACTTCGATACCACAACCCAAGGTATTGACTTTGTCGTTACAGCACCAATTCCCAACGGAAACCTCATCGCCGTGTATAACTTCACGTCAACTACGGTTACCGATTTCAATCCTGACACGCTGGACGATCATCGAATCAGGGAACTCGAAGAGAACTTACCGGAACACCGCGCCGGCCTGACTGTCGTTCAATCCATAACGGACGTATGGGGAGTGCTCGGGCGTGCCAGTTATTTCAGCGGTTGGTTCGATTCTGAAGATTTCTTACAGAATCCAGATGTGCCAGGCACTGGAGAATACACTGGAAGGGTTATTTTCGACTTAGAAACCACTTACACCGTGGGGTCCGGATTGGCTCTCACTCTCGGTGGAAGAAATATCCTTAATACCTATCCCGATGAAAATCCGAATGCTGCTGGTTCTGTTGGTAACAAATACGGACAATTCAGTCCGTTTGGGTTTGATGGCGCGTTCTGGTATGCCAAAGTCGGATACAGTTTCTAAAACCTATCTCCTGAAAAGTGCTAAATATGCTTTTCGCAGAGGCGCGGTTTTCAACCGCGCCTCTTCAATTCATCTCATATTCAATTCATATAAATTACATTAGTTCTGCTTTAAATGAGAGTGTCTTTTTAACTGAAAAATGAAGGAGCTTCATTTATGAAAGTCACACTTGATTTTAAAACGGTGCTGCTTCTGATGCCCGTCGTTTTAATTATTTTTATAAGTTTGGCATCTACTGCAGTGGCACAAGAGACTGAAATGGAATCGAGCGAAGCAACATCTGAACAGGAGGTCATAACGCTTGAGGGTGTGGTTGTGGTTGGGACGCGTGCGAAACCGCGTTCGGTTCTTGAATCTGCGGTACCGATTGATGTTTTACCAAGTGAAGATTTCGTCAAACAGGGAGGCACGGATTTGCCAGACCTGCTGAGAAACTTGGTCCCATCTTACAACGTCAATGCGCAGCCGATCGCTGATGCAGCCACTGTCGTCCGTCCTGCGAATCTGCGCGGATTGGCACCGGATCACACGTTACTGCTGGTGAATGGCAAGCGCCGTCACCGTGCCTCCGTGATTGCTTGGCTCGGAAATGGGTTATCCGATGGCGCACAGGGTGCCGACCTTTCTCCTATCCCCACCATCGCACTGAAGCAGCTGGAGGTACTACGAGATGGAGCATCGGCACAATACGGTTCCGATGCGATCGCGGGGGTCATTAACCTGCAGCTCAAGGACAGTTACGAAGGCGGATCTTTTGCAATCAAACCCAGTATTTTCCAAGCGGGTGATGGTCTTGCATACGCTGTCGCTGGGAATATCGGTTTGGGACGAGAGGATCTCTGGACGAATCTCAGTGTAGAATACGGTGGCATGAATGAGACAGATCGCTCTGTACAACGCGATGATGCCGCCGCGCTCATCAGTGCCGGAAACGCGGATGTCGCTGATCCCGCTCAACCGTGGGGACATCCTATTATTAGAAACGACATCAAGCTTTTTGCGAACTACGGTGCAAGCATTACCGATGATATTAAGTTCTACGGGCATGCGAACTACGCGCAGAAGGAAGTTGAAGGCGGGTTCTACTTCCGAAATCCCAATACCCGACCTGCTGTCTTTAGTAATGATGATGGAGAAACCTTACTTGTTGGAAGATTGTCGGGCACAGGTGAAGTTCCTGTGGTCAAGATAACCAACAACGTTCCATATCCGGTTGCCTTACAACAGGTTTTCTCTGACCCAAATCTTTTCACATTCCAAGAGCTCTTTCCCGGTGGGTTTACACCCCGTTTCGGTGCGGATACCCAAGATGCTTCGCTCCTCGTTGGCTTGAAAGGAATGATCGCTGCGGACGTGGGGTGGGATTTGAGTGCTTCTTATGGACGGCACGCCTCCGATTTCTTTATCAGAAATACGGTTAATGCCTCGCTTGGACCGGACACACCGACTGAATTTGACCCGGGCGATTATATCCAAGCGGATACGAACATTAATCTTGACTTAACCTATCCGCTACACGATATGGTGTTCCTCGCCTCAGGTTTGGAATATCGCACGGAAACCTTTGAGATTGTGCAGGGACAGATTGAGTCTTGGAAAATCGGTCCGTTGGCAAGCCAAGGATTTAGTTCAGGATCCAACGGATTCCCCGGCTTCAGTGATATTGCCGAAGGGAGTTGGACCCGGTCTAACTTCGCTGGTTATTTGGAAAGTGAGTTGAGACCTCTTGACTTTTGGACGGTTAATGCTGCCATCCGCGGTGAGTACTTCGACGATTTTGGGAGCACTGTCAATTACAAAATCGCAACGAACTATGGCATTGCCGATACGCTTAAAGAATTGCTTTCGGTCGATCCTGTTGTTGACTTAAGGGCACGCGGCAGTTATAGCACCGGTTTTAGAGCACCGACACCGGGTCAGCAAAATGCCTTTAACGTCACAACGGAGTTCGGTGAAAACAATACATTGGTCAATAAAGGGACGATTCCTTCTACACACGCTGCCGCAAGTTTAGTGGGTGGTAAGCCACTCGAACCCGAAAAGTCAAAGAATTTCACGGTTGGAACAGTCGTCAGCCATACCATTGCGAGTATCACTGTTGACTATTTCAACATTAAGCTGGAGGATCGGTTGGCTCCGACAAAAGACTTCCAGCGAGGTACAGATATTACAGAGGCACAGATTCAGCAGCTCGTGGCTGAAGGCATTACGAGCGCAGGCAATCTACAAGAGTTCCGGTTCTTTACCAATGAATTTGAGACGAGCACTCAAGGAGTTGATGTGATTCTCACAGCACCCATATTGGATGGGGCGCTAAGTCTCGCTTACAACTACACGGAGACCACAGTAACCAAGCGTAATCCTGATATCCTTGACGACACACGCGTCCGGCTATTGGAGGAAGGTGTCCCTCGTCATCGCGGAAATGTGACGCTAACCCAAGCCATCGGCGACAGTTTAGGTGTATTGGGAAGAGTCAATTATTACGGTCCTTGGTACGAGAACGCTGTAGGCGCGCAAACCTACGGTGAGGCGTTTTTGGTGGACCTTGAAGTTAGTTACGCGCTCATTGAGAACTTAGGCATCACAATTGGGGTGAATAATGTCCTCAATGTTGAACCGGATAACGTGACTTGGGCGGATCCGGATGTTGAGAACTTTACGGGAGCAATCGTTGGTAGACCCTTCGGTGAGTATAGTCCTTATGGGTTTGGCGGCGCGTTCTGGTATACTAAAGTTGGTTACAGTTTTTAATTCTTAGTATGTATTCGGAAGCGGTTTCCAATTGCCCCCTAACGTGAAAGGAAATCTTTATGCTATTTCAACGGAACAGAACGACGCTCAGATATATAACTATTTTCGGCATCCTCGCTTCATTCTTCTTAATGAGCGTTTTCTTTTTAAGTTGTGATCGTATTCAACAAGTTGTTGCTCCGGAGGGGATGGAAACCCCTGATGGGGCAGCTGCAGTCAAAATCGGTTTCATTTATAGTCCTTCTGATCCGGGGACAACACGAAATGGGTGCCGAGTTAGCAGTTACCCTCGCGAATGCGGCAGGCGGAATAAACCATAATACATTAGCAATTATATGACGCGAGATCCTTGGGTCTCGCAAATTTTCCGAAAGTGAGGTAAATTGAAATGAGCAATCGGTCCAGAGACGCAGAATATACAATGGGCCGCAGCAAAGGCGAAACGGAACGCTTAATCAAGCAGTCACAACTCTATGAAGATGTGACACGGCGTTTTTTTCTCAGAAGCGGTATTGCAAAAGGGATGAAAGTCCTTGATGTTGGGAGCGGTGCTGGCGATGTGGCTCTCACGCTCGCCGAATTTGTTGGTCCCGACGGCACAGTTATTGGTGTAGATGTCAATCCTGATATTCTCAAAATAGCGCAAGCTCGAGCGGATGCAGCGGGTTTTTCAAACATTGAATTCATTGCGGGTGATACCCGAACCCTTGGACTTCCGGACGATTTTGATGCTGTTGTCGGGCGGCTTGTACTGATGTATATGGCGGACCCAGCGGAAACACTTAGGCATTTGGCGACACACCTGCGTCCCGGTGGAATAGTCGCCTTTCAGGAAGTCGATTTTACGCCTTATACTGCAGCAGTGCATCCCGATACCCCCTTAGCAAACAAATTAATTGAATGGGGACGCACCGTGTTTGAGCGTTCAGGAGCACATCTTGAGATGGGTATGGACCTTTACAAAGCCTTTGTTGAAGCAGGTTTACCCGAACCGACTTTACATTTTGAGGCACCTATGGGCGGACCTGAAGATTGGCCCGGCTACGAATATCTTGAGAACAGTTTTCGGAGCCTCGTCCCCCTGCTGGAGGCGTACGGAATTACCACAGCTGAAGCGTTGGATGTTGATACGTTGGCAGAGCGGATACAGGCGGAAGTCGCTGCAGCGAAACGACCGATTATGTTGCCACCGCATATCACGGCGTATGCCACGCTTGCATCCTGAAAAGGCTCCGCGCATGGCGAAAAATCATTTAGAAAACTCGCAGACATCAGATCGCGGCGGCACCTATACCTTAGGGCGTACCTCACACGAAACGACACGTCTCATTGAACAATCAAGAATCTATGGAGAGTCGACGCAACGTCTCTGTAAGCGAGCCGGTGTAACGGAAGGGATGCGAGTCCTCGAAGTCGGTAGTGGTGCGGGTGATGTTGCCCTTACCCTCGCTGAACTTGTCGGTCCTGAAGGGTGGGTTGTCGGTGTGGATCTCAATCCCGCAATTCTTGAAACGGCACGCCAGCGGGCAACAGACGCAGGCATCCAGAACGTTGAATTCGTTGCCGGTGATGCGCGAACGCTGGCTTTTACGGACAAATTTGATGCTATTGTCGGACGATTTGTGTTGATGTATATGGTGGATCCTGGGAAAGCATTCGCTCAGCTCATAACGCATTTAAAACCGGGCGGCATCGCCGCATTCCAGGAGCCAGAATACACGCTTTATCCCGCGTTCTTACATCCGGATACACCTCTCATGAACCAACTCATTAAGTGGATTTTGGATGTGTTTGAACATTCAGGAGCACATCTTGACACGGGCATTGGGCTTTATCGCGCTTTTGTTGACGCAGGTTTGCCGCCACCAACGATGCATCTTGAGTCTCCTATCGGTGCCGCCAAAACGTGGGCAGGTTACCGATACATGGCGACTATCTTTCAGAGTCTCCTTCCGCTCTTAGAAAAATACAGGCTTGCGACAGTGGAACAGGTGGATGTGGATACGTTAGCCGCACGGATCCGGAGAGAGGTCCTCACATCGAAACGTCCGTTTTTTTTACCGTTGCATGTAACTGCATATTCAACGCTTCCAACCTAAATTTCCTTAATTTCCTGTTATCGTAAAGTCTGAAAATATGTAGACATCTCAGGAGGCAGCAACCCCACTCCCCCGCTGGCGAGGTTTCTAACCTCGCCTCTTCACAATGTCCAAGTAATTATAGGCTTTACTATAATTGAAATTTACACTGTGATGTGGGATTCAGAGGCATTCCGTTCTTTTGTAGGAGCGACCTCCCGGTCGCGATTCTTTCTCTTTCATCTTGATCGATAAGTCAAACTATGGTATCATAAGTCATAAATAGACGTTAATACTATTATATAACTTATATAATAGTATTTGACTTTAACCTATGTTAACGAATACATACTGAATTTCAATCAACGCATTCTGTAAAACTAAAGGTCTCTGAAAAATCGCATTTTTGGTTGATATATGGATTAGAATGTGGTATAATTATACTAACTAAAGTTAACGAATAGAATTCCATCTAACCTGTAATCGCCCTTTTGATTTACAGGCGATTCATAGGCATCAGGTGGATTTTACTTAATTTAATTAATATTAATCTCTGCTCTCTGCTTTTATTACAAAAGCAGTGGAGCCATCAGTCCGAAGAGAGGCACGAAAATTTGAATCCTTATGAACTCCTCCTTATCATTACTCCCGACCACGATGAAAAGGAAGCTGAGGCTCTTACGAATCAAGTAAAGGGCATTATCGAAGGTGGCGGGACTCTCCTGAAAGTTGATCCCTGGGGGAAAAAACGACTCGCTTATCCTATCCGGAAACGGAGTGAAGGGTATTATGTGCTCTACATTTTTGAGTGCGCATCGAGTTTTGTCGCGGAATTAAATCAATCCCTGCAGGTCATTGAAGCGATTTTGCGGTATATGCTCGTCCAATACGAGGATGATATTGATAAGTTGAAAGCCGAACTAACCGCTGAAGGAACCGAGGTCGAAGAATCAACGTCAGATGAGGATTCGACACCGGATGAAGAATTGACATCGGATGAGGAACCAGCGTCGGATGATAATGCAGAGGCTGAAGATACAACAGATAATGACGCAGAGGCTGAAGATACAGCAGCGTCTGCCTGAAATAAGCGTTATCCAAATCTTAAACGAACTTTTGGCTTGTAGGCTACCTCAAAAGGTCTGAGCCTACGATAAAAAGGAGAAACCATGGCAAGTTACAACAAGGTCATCCTGATGGGGAATCTGACACGGGACCCTGAAGTGAAATTTCTGCCGAGCGGAACAGCCATCGCTAATTTTGGATTGGCTATGAGTGAACGGTATACTGACCGGCAAACTGGTGAACAGAGAGAGAATGTCTGCTTTGTTGATATAGAAGCATGGGATAAGCAGGCAGAGTTAGTCGGTGAGTATTTCAGTAAAGGCAGCCCCATTTTGGTTGAGGGGGCCCTCAAGTATGATTCGTGGGAAGCTGAAGACGGAACGAAGCGGAACCGTCTTAAAGTCCGTCTGATGCGGTTTCAGTTTGTTGGGAAACGTGAGGACAATGAGGCGGGCGGCGGTTACGCCGATGCCCAACCTGCGGCTGCACCAAGACAGGCTGCATCTTATCAGGACGCACCAGCTCCCGCTGCGAGTGACGCATCTTCCGCAACAGAGGACGACATTCCGTTTTAAGTAAGGATAGTTTTCGTGGGAGAGCCGTTGTTGTCCAGAGGGTCTCCCATGTTCTTGGTGAGTCTTTCGATAGATAGGTGTGTTGAGTGCTCCTATAGACATAGCGCATCAGAAACGCTCTGATGCGCAACATTTTAGAAAAAAGGAACAGAATTGATATGGCATTCCGTCGCAGGCAGCGCTATCATAAGATTGAATCTTTCGATTACAAAGATATAGATACGCTGCGAAAATTTATTAATGAACGTGGCAAAATTGTGAGTCGCCGGGTCACTGGGCTATCGGCGAAGCAACAACGAATGGTAACGCGTGCAGTCAAGCGTGCCCGTAATATGGCACTGTTGCCGTTTACGCGATAGAGGTAGGGCTTCAGACACGTACAACGGGTTTCCCTACGAAGGATAGTTTAGGATTTCAATTATGGAAGTCATTCTAAAGAAAAGTGTTGAAGGTCTCGGTCTACCGGGCGATGTGCTGAACGTCGCAGATGGTTTCGCGCGTAACTATCTTCTGCCTATGCAGTTAGCGGTGCATGCAACGGAGCGAAACCGCCGACACTTAGATCACGAGAAACAAGTAATTGATCATCAAGGGGCGAAGGATAAAGAACACGCACAGGAAATCGCCGCACAGATGACTGGTGTTACGTGCACACTGAGCAGGCGTGCTGGTGAACACGATCGTCTCTTCGGGTCAGTTACTTCTATGGATATCGCAGAGAATTTGCGAACGCAGGGGGTTGATTTGGAACGGCGGTTCTTTGAACTCGCAGAGCCGATTCGTGAACTCGGCGTGTTTATGGTACCGGTCAAATTGCATACAGATGTTGTCGTCGAACTCCGCGTTGTTGTTGGACGTGAAGAGTAATTATGCAGGCACAACTGGTTGATTCTCTCTCTGACAAGGAAGCTGAACAAGCAGTACTCGGCGCGATGATGACCGACAAATCGGTTATTCCTCAAGTAATAACCAAGCTCGGTCAGACCTCTGATGTGTTTTTCACTGTAGACCATCAGCTTACCTATTCAGCTATCCTTGCTGTATATGACCGCGTTAGCAATGCAGATCCACTTCTTGTTGCTGATGAGTTGAAACGAGTGAACCAGTTGAACCGGGCTGGCGGAACAGAGTACCTATACGAACTACAGGCTCCAATTGCAGAGACAGAGAGTACAGAGTTTTACGCAGATATCCTCTATGAAAAGGCGACGCGCCGTCGGTTAATTCGAGCGACCGCTCAGATTCGCGAGATGGCATACGACGAGGGTGTAGGAATTGCTGATGTCCTGAATCAATCACAGGAAGCGGTCTTCGATCTTGGCCAGACAGATACCCAACGCGGGTTTGTCGCCATCCATACATTACTCACAGAGAGTCTTAGCGCGGTTGAAAGCCTGTATCAGAAAAAAAGTAGATTTTTAGGGATACCGACCGGCTTTATGGATTTTGACCATATGACATCAGGGCTGCAGCCCGGTAATCTTGTTATCATTGCCGCGCGACCGAGTATGGGAAAAACAACCTTGGTGCTGAACATAGCACAGAACATCGCCCTTGAAGAAAAACGTCCAGTCGCTATTTTTAGTCTTGAGATGCCAGCACAGGATATCGTCATGCGGATGTTAGCCGCCGAATCTCAGATTGATTTTGGGCGGCTCCGAACCGGCAATTTCAGTGAAGATAACTGGAAACCGTTGACTGAAGGGGCAAGTCGATTGGCTGAAGCACCTATCCTAATTAACGATAATCGTGGTCTTACTGTTCAGAGTCTACGCGCCGAGGGGCGACGCTTAAAAGGCGAACACGGTAATCTGGCTCTCATTATCGTTGACTACCTGCAACTATTGAGAGGGACTGGTAGATATAACGTTCGCGAACAGGAGATCTCTGAAATCTCACGTGCTTTGAAAATCCTCGCGTGGGAGCTTAATGTTCCGATTATCGCTTGTTCGCAATTGAGTCGTGAGATTGAACGTCGCCCTGATAAACGTCCGCAGCTTTCAGATTTACGGGAGTCCGGGGCAATCGAACAGGATGCCGATCTCGTCGCCTTTTTACACCGAGATGATTATTACGAAGATGAAGATGTCGGAGACAGGGTTGAAGCGAACATCATGATTAAGAAGCAGCGTAACGGACCAACCGGAACGGTTATTCTTTATTTTACTAAAAAGCAGATGCGATTTGAGAACCCCAGTTAGATGGCTTTCAGCACGCTACGCTTTCAGTTCGGTTTTTTCTTGCGAAAAAACCTTTCAGTTTTCAGTTAAGAGGTGTTTGCCGAAATCAGAACCCTCTTTTAACCGATAACTGATAACTGACAACTGACAACCATTATAGAAAATATGGAGCAGCAGTCCACTATACACGAAGCCTCTGGAGGTTTCCCTGATTTGGTTAAGATTCGGTTGCACAGCGTGCTTTCCGAGATAGGACAAGCCTTTACGCTCTTTTTTCAAACACTTTTTCAAATTTTCCGTCCTCCCTTTCAGTTTGATCTGTTAGTTAAGCAGTTGTTGTTGATTGGCTTCAATTCTTTGGCTGTTGTTATTGTCTCTGGGTTTTTCACGGGAATGGTATTGGGTGTTCAGGGGTATATTCAGCTCAAACCTTATGCAGTGGAAGGCTCGGTGGCGAGATTCGTCTGTGTTTCAGTCGTGAAGGAACTCGGTCCGATGATTACTGCGTTTGTGCTCGCCGGACGTATCGGGGCATCAATTACTGCTGAACTTTCAACGATGAAGGTTACGGAGCAGATTGACGCACTTGAGGTGATGGGCACAAATCCAGTCAAATATCTGGTAGTGCCGCGTTTTCTCGCGTGTTCTCTGATGTTACCGACGCTTACGATCTATTCGACGTTTGCGGGCATCGCTGGCGGTTTTGTCGCCGTTGTTACGCTATTTGATGTAAACGGCTCCTTTTTTCTCTTGGAAGTGCAGAAGAATCTTTTTGTCGGAAGCGTTCTCATTAGTTTGATTAAAGCGACCTCTTTCGGGATGGCAATTGCTGCGGTTGGCTGCTACAAGGGTTTTAGTATCTCGACAGCAGGCGGAGCAGAGGGTGTTGGCATTGCTACGACTGGCTCTGCTGTAATCTCTCTTATTGGTATTCTCGTTTTAGACTTTGTCTTGAATCATGTGCTCTTTAACATTTTCGGGTTGGTATAATTTAGCCGTCAGCCGTCAGGCATCAGCCGTCGGTAAAGAGGTTTTCGCCTCATAAAGGTTACCTCAATGTATAAGTAAAAACCGTAGCCTGCAACAACGGCGCAGGCGGATATGAGCAACGCCCGTCAAAGTTCAAACGCACGCTGTGCCTCCGCAAGGTAAAATTAAAGAATGATTTCAATTAGAAACGTCACAAAAAGTTTTGGAGGCAAAAACGTTTTAAACGAACTCAGCCTTGAAATTCCGCGTGGCGAAACACTCGTGATTATGGGACGTAGCGGGTGTGGTAAGAGTGTACTCCTCAAGATTATTACAGGATTGATGTCTGCCGATTCCGGTGAAATTTGGTTCGATGGAACGGAAATATCGAGCCTAAACAGAAAAAAAATGAATGTCCTCCGCCGAAAGGTTGGAATGCTGTTTCAGTCTGCTGCCCTCTTTGATTCGATGACTGTCGCAGAGAATGTCGCTTTTATGCTGGATCAGCATACAGATCTTGACAAGCGAGAAATGCGTAAGGTGGTTGACGAGAAACTCAGTCTTGTTGATTTAGAGGGTACTCAGGACTTGCGCCCCGCGGAATTGAGTGGGGGTATGCGAAAACGGGTCGGACTCGCACGCGCCCTCGCATTTGATCCGGAGGTTATTTTTTACGATGAACCTACAACCGGACTTGACCCGGTGACCTGTACCGAAATCAATCAACTTATTGGAGACCTCCATGAGAGGCTGCAAGTCACCTCCGTTGTGGTTACACATGATATGCATAGTGCCTTCAGTGTCGCTACCCGGATGGCTATGATTCATGAAGGTAGGCAGGTCGCATACGGCAGTCCAGATGAAATTATCAACATCGACGATCCCATTTTGCAACAGTTCATCCTATTTGGAGCACCAGACCAGATTCTCAACATGGAAAATCCTATTTTGAAAAAATATTTAGGGAGGTAGTATGAACTTTTGGACTGCGTCTGTAAAAGTCGGTGTAATGGTTCTCGTTGGCATCGTATTCCTGACAATTCTTCTTACGAATGCTGAGAATTGGCCGTGGGCAACTGCTGGTGATGAACTGACGTTTCAATTTCGTTCTGTCAACGGGCTTTATGTCGGGGCAGGTGTTTACCTATCTGGTGTCCCGATTGGCAAAGTAACGGCTATTGAGCTCCGTCCTGATACTGATAATGTGCACATCAAGGCGAAAGTCAAAAACGCATTTGAGTGGTTGAGGGAGGACTGTGGTGCCAGAATTTCCATGAACGGGTTTGTCGGTGAAATTTATATCGCTCTTGACAATGGACCCATTGGGAACTCGACCTTAAAACCAGCGAACTTGCCGATTGTTGGAAAAGACCCTGTGAATGCCTTGGAACTCCTTGAGCAGACGAGTGCTGGTATGACACAGGCTATTGAACTCACAACGGCTGCTAATGCAGTGCTACAAGCGAACCAAGAAGCCATTCAGCTCGCCATCAAAGAGATTCGGGAGGTCGTCGCACTCACTGGAAAAACTATTGAGAAGTTGAGCGTTGACTCTAAAGATACGGTGCAAACTTTGACGCAACTCGCCTTAGAAAACGATAGGCGGTTTCAGGGGACCCTCGTAAAGGTAAATAACCTTATAGCACAGTTAGAAGGCGATTCCCTGATGGTGAGCAGTCAAATAAGTGACATTACACGTGAACTCTTGAGGCTCCTGAATCAGAATTCACCGAAACTCAACACTATTTTTACCGATGTTCGCGCGACAACATCAGAATTTCGACAGATAACACAAGATTTTCGCTCAGATTTCGACACGTTAGCGGCACAGGTTTCTGCCCTTGTTTCGCAAGGTAGTAATGCTATTGAAACAGGAGAAGCCAACATCGCACCTATCTTAGAGAACCTAAAGGCGACGACTGCTTCGGTCGCTGCTCTGGAGACGAGCGTCAGTCGTTTTCTTACCACGCTTAACGAGGGTGAGGGTACTGTCGCGCAATTGCTGAACACACCCGAGCCGCTTAAAGATGTCCGGCGAACCTTGCAAAATGTCGACGAAATGATGAGTGCGGTAACGGAACTCTCTGAAAAAACTGAGAAGCAGTTGGAGCAATTTGATTTACCGCAGTTTGGTTGGGATTATGAGCTCCGCTATCTGAGTCTCGAAGAGCGACTTTACAATGAACTGGCGTTTTCACTTTCTCGCAGCCCCGACGCACACTATAGGTTCGGGGTAGGTGTTCGAGATGAGAAGGTTCGCTTTGAGTTTCAGTATGCACACGATGTAACAGATTTTCTCCGTGCGCGTGCCGGGTTTATGCGTTCCAAAGTGGGAGCAGGCTTGGATTTGTGGTTGTGGTCCCGACGTTTCGGCATCAGCGTTGAAGGGGTAGGACTGACGAGCAGAGAACCAGAGTTGAACGCGGAAGTAGCGTTGCGGTTTTTCCGATATGGACAATTTCTGCTGGGTGCAGAGAATTTGACCGGTGAGCAGCGTTGGACAACAGGGTTTCGCTTTTTTGGTGGTGAGTGGTAATTGGCAGTCAGCGATCAGCAGTCGGTTAAGAGGGGTTCGCCTAATAAAGGGTTCCTCAACGTATAATTAAAAAAACGTAGCCTGCAACAACGGCGCAGGCGGATATAAGGAACGCACTTCAAAGTCGAAACGCACGTTATGTAACCGCAAGGTAAAATTAGGGTTCCTCAACGTATAATTAAAAAAACGTAGCCTGCAACAACGGCGCAGGCGGATATAAGGAACGCACTTCAAAGTCGAAACGCACGTTATGTAACCGCAAGGTAAAATTAAAGAATGGCACGAGAGAAACGCAAATTTGTCTGTCAAGAGTGTGGATATACGACACCAAAGACCCTGGGACGGTGTCCGAGTTGTAGGAGTTGGCAAAGTTTCGCCGAAGAGATAGAGACACTCACGACTGCATCGAAACACCGTGATATCGGACAAGCATCTCGCGAGCCTGAGCCTATTTCGCAAGTTACAGCAAGCGATGTGGAACGGCATCTAACTGGGATGTCAGAATTTGACAGAGTACTCGGGGGTGGGATTGTGCCGGGATCCGTAGTCCTGATCGGCGGCGATCCGGGAATAGGCAAATCTACGTTGTTACTACAAGCCAGTGATGCATTGAGTCGGAACTATGGAGATGTGCTTTACGTTTCCGGTGAGGAATCTGTTAGCCAGACAAAACTCCGTGCAACTCGGCTCGGTGTTTCGTCTGATACACTCTATGTACTATGTGAAAACAATTTGGAGCAGATTGAAAAGCATATTGCAGCACGGTCTCCGAAGGTTGTCATCGTTGATTCTATCCAAACGGTTTATTTGTCGAATATCCCATCCGCACCGGGGAGCGTCACCCAGATTCGTGAGTGTGCTGGGCATCTCCTGATTTGTGCGAAGAATCGGAATATACCGGTGTTTCTCGTCGGGCATGTGACAAAGGAGGGAACACTCGCTGGACCTCGCGTTTTAGAGCACATGGTGGATACTGTCCTCTATTTTGAAGGGGAACAGCATCACATCTACCGCATCCTGCGTGCGATTAAAAATCGATTCGGTTCCACGAACGAGATCGGAATCTTTGAGATGCAGAGCACAGGGCTCGTGGATGTGATGAACCCGTCAGAACTCTTTTTAAGCAACAGAGAGGCAGAAATTTCAGGATCTGTTGTGGTCTCCAGCATAGAGGGTACCCGTCCCCTGCTCATGGAAGTGCAGGCGCTTGTCGTGCCTACGAATCATGGAAATCCCCGCAATACGGCAGCCGGGGTGGACCGGCACCGGATTGCCTTACTTATTGCGGTTCTCAATAAACGGGTAGGCATTAACGTTGCGGATTCCGACGTTTTTGTTAACATTACTGGTGGGCTACGCATTGATGAACCCGGGATTGATCTCGGTGTTATGATGGCAATCTCCTCAAGTCATCGAAATCTGCCTGTGGATAGGCAGACTGTTGTAATCGGAGAGGTTGGGTTGGGTGGTGAAATTCGTCCCGTGACGCATGTTGAGAGACGAATCCGGGAAGCCGCGAAGTTAGGATTCAGACGGGTGATTTTTCCTGAGTACAACCGGAAAGGCTTGGAAATTGACGAAGATATTGAACTTGTGGGTGTTAGCGACGTATATGACAGTCTGGGGGCTTTACTGTAGTACGGTTCGTAATTTATTGATAGTTATAAAGTCTAAGTGTGAACATTGTTAAGTTGGCGTGTTTACAGAGCGCGTCCGAAATATCGGGGCAGATGCTGGCAACCGGGTTTCTTGTAAGCGCGAATGAAGTCCGCGCCTGCAAGTGGCAGTACTGTCTTTTTAAGTTAGACTTGGAGTAGGAAAAATGATAGTTTGGGGGATTCGTCTCTTTTTTATAATTGCAGGTGTGGCAAGCTGCTATATCATCTACAGTGCCCCAGTCGCAGCGATTGTTGGATTTGTCGTTGCCCTTTTTCTTGTTGGGGCAGAAATTTGTCTACGTATACCCAGCGTACGTGGTATCGTCGCGGGGCTGATAGGACTTTTTATAGGTTTATTGGTTTCTTTTGCCCTGCTATCTCTCCTGTCACAGTTTGATGACAATCTAAAGATAGCAATTGTTCTCAGTTTGGGGTACGTGGGTATGATGAGCGGCTACCATCTCTCTACAACAGTGAGTTTAAGCCAATTACTGGGATCAAAGGGGTCTACCCGACCTGGTGATTCACGTTCAGTTCAAGCTGCAAGTAACTTCAAAATTTTGGACACAAGTGTTATTATTGATGGTAGAATTCTTGAAATCTGTCAAACGAAATTTATTGAAGGCACGCTTGTCATTCCACGATTTGTTCTCAATGAGTTGCAGCATATTGCGGATTCAACGGAACCACTTCGTAGAAATAAGGGACGGCGCGGTTTTGATATCCTTCGTGCGCTTCAGAACAATCTGGGAATTGATGTTGAAATCTCAGAGGAAGAAGTGCCGCATTTGCCAGAAGTTGATGCGAAGTTGGTTCATCTCGCACAAAAGCAAGGGGCAACGATTATCACAAACGATTTAAACCTCAACAAAGTTGCCGAATTACAGAGTGTGAATGTCCTCAATATCAACGAGTTGTCGAATGCCGTACGTCCTGTTGTCATTGCCGGTGAGGTGATCCAAGTGCTTCTCCTAAAGGAAGGAAAGGAACCGAATCAGGGGGTTGGCTATCTTGATGACGGAACGATGGTAATCGTTGAAGACGGGAAACCCTACATCGGGAGTGTGATTAATGTTGAGGTTACACAGATGTTACGAACGAGCGCGGGTCAAATGATTTTCACGCGAATAAAAGAAAATGATATGGACAGTGATGAACAGCAAGGTGTGCGTTCTTATCCCCGCAGCTGGTAAGGGCAGCCGGATGGCGCATTCGGTTAAAAAACCGTACTTAAAATTGGCACAGAAGCCGATTTTGGCACATACGATTCAGCGGTTTGAGCAAAATAGTGCTGTGGACGCGGTTTTCGTTATTGTCGACCCAGCCGATTTCAGCGAATGTCACGCCGCTGTGTTGCATCCCTATCCCTTTACAAAGGTACAAGAACTTGTTGAGGGAGGAGAAACTCGTCAGATGTCGGTCTATAATGGTATACGCGCCCTATCGTCAGATGTTGACTTTGTGATTGTTCATGATGGGGTGCGTCCTTTTGTGACGGATGAGGTCATTTTCGCGTGTCTTACCGCGGCGGACGAATATGGTGCGGCTGTTGCTGCGGTCCCAGTCAAGGATACAATCAAAGTCTCGAACGAAGACAGTTTCATTGTTGAAACACCAGCGCGTGACCAGCTCTGGGCGGTGCAAACACCCCAGGTCTTTCGGAAATCTCTTTTAGAGGAAGCGCATCAGGTAGCGCAAGCGCGTCAACTCACGGCAACCGATGATGCTTCCCTTATTGAACAACTCGGATTTCCTGTTAAATTGGTGAAGGGAAGTTACGCGAATCTAAAGATAACTACGCCCATTGATTTACGAGTGGCTGAAATGTTGATCTCAGATGCCACCCTTTGGTAGGCGTTTTGTCTGTTGCCTCCATTTTTTATGCGTCTATTGTGGTGAAAATGTAGAGAAAAATGCGAATAGGTATTGGTTACGACGTTCATCGATTGGTCTCTGATAGAAAATTGATTCTGGGGGGCGTTGAGATCTCATATCATTTGGGATTGTTAGGACATTCGGATGCGGATGTCCTGACACACGCGATCGTAGATGCGATTTTAGGCGCAGCCGCACTCGGTGATATCGGCACTCATTTTCCTGATACGGATGATCGTTATAAAGGAATGGATAGCCTTATTTTTCTACGTGATGTCGCAGCGAAAGTGAGACAGGGTGGCTACCAGATCGAAAATATAGACAGTACAGTTATCGCACAGTCCCCGAAATTGGCACCCTACATTTCAGAGATGCGCGCAAGACTTGCCAAAACACTTGATATTGACGTGGCGCAGGTAAACGTTAAGGCTACCACTGCGGAAGAATTGGGCGTTGTCGGCGAGGGGAAAGCGATTGTCGCTCACGCTACCGCCTGCCTTTCCCGGCTATAGGTGTTGTTTTGTGAGCAATGCCAACAGGAGTCTAAAACACGGAAAAATCGGAATGAAAATCTATAACTCACTGAACCGGCAATTAGAGGATTTTGTACCACTAAATCCCGAACAGGTGTCTATTTACAGTTGCGGTCCGACTGTTTACGATTACATTCACATGGGCAACGCACGCACGGCTTTAGTGACAGATATTATTCGACGTTATTTGGTATATAGTGGGTACAAAGTCAAACTGGTTCAAAATCTGACAGATATTGATGACAAGATTATCAATCGTGCGGCAGAGTTAGGTGTCAGCGCAAAGCAGCTCGCACATCAGAACGGCGAAGCGTTCTTTCAGGATTCCCTACGCCTCGGTATCCATCCCGCAGATGTCCATCCAAAAGCAACCGAACACATTCCAGAGATGATAAGTTTAATTCAGATCCTGATTGATAAAGGGGCGGCTTATGTCATTGATGGAAGTGTTTATTACCGCGTGAATCAATTTGCTGAGTATGGGAAACTTTCCAATCGGAAGCCAGAGGATCTCCTCGCCGGTGCGCGGGTTGAAATTGATGAGCGGAAGGAGGATCCGCGGGATTTTGATATGTGGAAAGCTGCGAAGCCGGGTGAGCCTTCTTGGGAGAGCCCGTGGGGTAAAGGTAGACCCGGATGGCATATAGAATGTTCTGCAATGGCGATGAAACATCTCGGTGAGACTATTGATATCCATGCGGGTGGCGAAGATTTACAGTTCCCACACCATGAAAATGAGATAGCACAGAGCGAATTGGCGACGGGACACACCTTCGCACGTTACTGGATGCACGTTGCTTTTTTGAAGATTGATGGTAGGCGGATGGGCAAATCGGAACAGAATTTTATCCTGCTACGCGACGCACTCGACCATTTATCCCACTGAGGTGATTCGTCATTTCCTGATTTCGGCACACTACCGGCACCCACTTGACTACAATCCGGAGAGTTTGGTGAAATCGGAAGGGGCTCTCAGACGTTTGAACAACTGTTTGGATGCCTTGAAAAAGTACGATGGGCAGTTTAATGCGAGCGAAACCGAGACTTCGCCGCTTCAGGATGCGATCCAAACGATGAAGTCGCGGTTTACCAATGCTATGGATACAGACTTTAACACCGCGCAGGCACTCGGTGCTATTTTCACTCTTATTGGCGAAGTCAACAGATCGCTCAGCACTTCTGATGGAGCAGATGCTCCCGTTTTCGCACAAGCCTATCAAGCGTTGACTGAAACCTGTGAGGTGCTCGGGATTTACAATTCGGATGCCCAAGATGACAACAACGTGGAGCAACGCGATCAACTCATTGCGCTGTTGTTAGAGATAAGACAGCAGGCTCGAAACCGCAAAGATTGGGATACATCCGATAAAATTCGTGACAGGCTTAAAGAACTCAATATTGAAATCCAGGACACCCGCGAGGGGGCTACTTGGAAAATTATATCATGATCCGGGGTGTTGGCGGTCCACAGCCTTGTTCGGATATGATATGTTCTAATTTCGTATATAAGCGAACGGAATACCCGTAGCGCGATGGCTTGTGCCTGAGCGCGGTATCAAAGGAGAAAAAAGATGATTTATCGATTCACTGCGTTTTTTTCACTGTTCTGCTTGGTTTCCGTTATTTTGGCAGGGTGCGCAGCACTTTTCTCGGAACAGGAGTGGAGCGAAAATTATGCCCTCATGGAAGGGGTACAGTCGACAAGCCCGCAGATAATTGATGGCAAGTTGAACACTATCGGTGAAACCACCTTCCCCGCAGGGCTCACAGGGATTCGTTGGCGCGAACCCCGCTTCACAGGTACTGATTACGTTGCCGGAAAAAAAGACTATCCGTCGGATTGTCATACATTCAGATAATTTAAGTGAGTTTGATATTTACGCCGATAAAGGTAGCATTGCGGTTGATGCGGACTGGCAGTTAATTAAGGACGTAAGGAGTGTCAAAGAGAATCCAATTAAGATTTCACTGCTGATTCCGTTTCCGACGGATCGAATTCGGTTGCGCGTTTTAGGCACGAAAGATGACGCGCTCTTGAGCCGACAGGAACGGGCACGTTCTGGCGGCAGAGGGTGGAATATCGGGAGTCGGCGTGCTGTTGGAAAAATTCGAGAGATTGAACTTTACGGCTATAAAACCGCTGAACAGATGGAAGAGGCACAGGTGACCGATAAGCGTGAAAAAGAACTTGATGATTTGCTTGATTTAGAGTAATATGGAACTCAATATCAAGGTGGCTATTTCTTCTATAATGCCGCCTCAATTTCATATTGTAAGGAGCGGCATCTGTGCCGTTTCAAGGCAACAAGGAGGCTATACATGCGTTTTGGATTATTGATACTGACCCTCTGTGTGGTGATTGGGATGTCGGGCTGTATTCTCGCGTCAAATCCGGCATATAACTGGAGTAAGAACATCGCAATGGATGCGACCAGTGAGGATACGAAATTCCATGACGACAATATCCACACCGTGGGCGAAACCGGTCCTATTCTCGAAGATGAGAAGGATATAAGATCCCAAGAGGAATCTGATAAATTCACCGAAGCCGTTCTCAGATGGCGGCAGCCGCAGACGATTCAACAGGTTGTGGTGAAATCCGAACCGGGTCAAATGGAATACTTCTCTGTTCAGTACATGAATGAAGAGGGGAAATGGGTTACGGTGAAAGAAGTCAAGGACAACATGCGGCCTATGTACCGATTCACCTTGCACAATCCGATTGTGACAACTAAGTTTCGTCTGAAGGTGCCACGCCGTTGGGAATCGCGTCGGGTCGGTGGGCAGAAACGCTCAACCCGTGGTGAAACTGGGGCACCCAGTATGCAAGAATATAAAAAGATTCAGGAAATCGAACTCTATTACGCGCTTCCACCGGATCCGATGGAAGCAGGAACAGCCGAACAGTAGTCGTCTTTTTTGGTCAGAGCATTTTGCGAGCGTGCCTTTCTTCTACGGACGCGCTTACAAAATGCTCTTATCAGTGGAAGCCTCAATCATATAATACATCGCGCAGGGTGGAAAAGATGCTGTCTAACGAGACAATCAGTCTAATTCATTTAAATCTTATTCAGGGTGTGGGACTCAAAACCGTTCAAGTCTTGCGTGATGTCTTTGGTAGTACAGAGAGGGCACTTCAAGCAACATCGGACGAACTGAGAAAAATAGACCTGCTTTCACCGACGGTGTGTGATCTCTTAATTCACAAGCCCGTTTTGTACCCAATAGAACGTGAGCTTGAATTGATACACAAATATGGTTGTCAGATTGTAACACTCTATGATGCCGCATATCCGCCCCACTTGAAGGAGATTGACACACCACCGTTTGTGCTGTATGTAAAAGGGAAACTCACGCCTGAAGACGCGCTTAGCATTTCCCTCGTCGGTTCTCGAAACGCTAAAGATTACGGGCGAAAGGTGAGTTACCGCTTGAGTTACCAACTCGCACAGCGAGGCGTAACTGTTATTAGCGGTTTAGCGAAGGGCATTGATACTTTAGCACATCGTGGGGCACTTGAAGCAGGGGGTAGAACAATTGCCGTAATGGGAAACGGGTTGAGTATCGTTTATCCTGCGACAAATAGCAACCTCGCTGAGAAAATTGAAGCATCCGGGGCATTGGTTTCCGAATTTCCAATGGCAGCCAGACCGAAGTCGAGAAACTTCCCACGTCGTAACCGTATCATTAGTGGATTGACGCTTGGAACTGTTGTGGTAGAGGCATCAAACCGTAGTGGAGCGTTGATTACCGCCCGTCTCGCCGCTGAACAGAACAGAGAGGTGTTCGCAGTACCGGGTGAGATTTTTTCTGAACTCTCAGCGGGTACCCACAAATTAATTAATGACGGTGCGAAACTCATCAACACTGTGGATGATCTGCTCAATGAACTGTCTCCATACGTATTAAATCAAATCCAGTCCCAAGCATCACCAATACTGGTGCCAGATATGGAGGCAGAGCCTCCGCAAGCATCTCCTGTTGAGAAGGGCGATACGAAACTTGTGTCCACACAAGCTTCCTCAGAAGCCCGACAACCTGTCTCTACGCCACCGCCCACCGGAGTTAACGCCAGATGAGAAGACGATTTTTGACGCTATCGAAGTGCCATCATCACATATTGATACCATTGTTCGGGCGACACAACTGCCGATTGGTCAGATCTCAAGTGTACTTTTGATGTTGGAGCTCAAAGGGGTCGTTCAGCAACTCCCGGGGAAGCAATTCACTAAGAATGGTTAGAAATATAACTATTGACGAACCAAAGAAATATGAAAGATACTCGGCATTGACACCTCATGTGATGAAACCGCTGCTGCAGTTGTTGCTGATGGTAGGGAAGTACTTTCCAACATTGTTGCTTCGCAGGTTGAAACACACCAAGAATATGGTGGCGTTGTACCGGAACTCGCATCGCGCAAACATATTGAAGCGATTAACTACATTGTGAGTAGATCGTTGGCAGAGGCGGGTGTCACATTTAAGGACTTGGAAGCGATCGCAGTGACAAATCGTCCCGGCTTAATCGGGGCGTTGCTTGTTGGGGTTGCTGCGGCGAAAAGCCTTGCCTATTGCCACAATCTGCCGTTGCTCGGTATCAATCACATTGAAGGACATATCTATGCACCCTTTTTGGCACTGCTTGCAAGCCAAAACTTGCTATCGAAACGTATGGTGCATGATGCCCTACCATTTCCACATATCTGCCTCACGGTTTCTGGCGGGCATACGTTGCTTGTCGAAGTTCATGAGGGGTGGCAATACAAGGTATTGGGGAGCACACAAGACGATGCCGCCGGTGAAGTCTACGATAAGGTCGCGAAATACCTCGGACTCGGTTTCCCGGGCGGAAAAGTGATTGATGACCTCGCACAGAAAGGTAACCCTTCGGCGGTGAAATTTCCAAGACCGATGCGAAATACCGACGACTACCAATTCAGTTTTAGCGGTATCAAGACTTCAGTGCGCTATTTTGTTGAGAAAGCGCGACGGGCAGGTCTACTTGTGGAGAATGGACAACAGGATGTGAAGCCTACAAACCCTGATATGATAACTATCGAAGATATTGCTGCCAGTTTTCAAGCGGCTGTCGTGGATGTCCTTGTCTACAAATCGCTGCGCGCAGTGAAAGCCACCGGTGCTGCGGCTATAACGTTGACGGGTGGCGTTGCTGCGAACAGTCATCTGCGTGCTTCGCTAAAACTCGCCGCTGCGGAGATTGGTGCAGAAGTCTACTATCCACCGATGAACCTGTGTACGGATAACGGCGCAATGATTGCGGGAATCGCTTACCAGAAATATCAGCAAGGGCTCCGAGATGGACTCTCTCTAAATGCTACTCCCAAGGGTTCTATTTTTTAATTATACCTTGCGGAGTAATAACGTGCGTTAAATCTATGACGCACCTTCCATCTATCCGCCCTCCATTACATTACGGGCTACGGTTACGAAAATTAACTTAATTATTCTACCTCGTTCCTCAACGATAGCCTGCAACAACGGCGCAGGCGACCCAAGAGAAAGGCACTCCTGGCATGAATCCTACTTTATTACTCCGCAAGGAAAAGTTAAAAAAAGCCGTAAGATGCCTAAAATCAGGTGGTATTGTCGCTATCCCCACCGATACAGTTTACGGACTCGGAGCCGACCCGTTTAATGCGGATGCCGTGCAAAGACTCTACATGGTCAAGGGACGACCGGACGGGAAGCCGATTCCGCTCGTGCTCAGTTCGGTCACAGATATCCATCGCGTCTCTCAAAACCTACCAGATTTCTTCTTCCACCTCACAGACCGGTTTTGGCCCGGCGGTTTGACTATCGTTATTGAAAGTAAAGGATTGCTGCCAGTGTTGACCGCTGGAGGTGGCACCGTCGGGGTACGGATTCCAAACAATCCACTGCTTTTGAAAATTCTCCAAACGTTTGGTGGACCGATGGCAATAACGAGCGCGAATCTCTCTGGAGAACCGCCAGCCACCTCTGCCCAAGAAATTGGTGGAGAACTCGCCTCACGAATTGATATGATAGTCGATGGAGGGAAGACCCCGGGTCCCATTCCTTCTACAGTTTATGACATTTCTGTCTCACCGCCACTGGTTCGGCGACACGGCGTGATTTCAGAAGAAACACTCGTCAAGGAGCTCGCGTGCTACAACAAGCCTTAAAGCAACTGCTTCAATTCTTAGCTACTCCCACCGGAAATTCGGCTCTACTTGGCTTAATTAGTTTTGTAGCATTAGCAATCGTCTATAACAGGAAAAAACAGATTCCGGGGTTGACAGTAGAGATTATCCCTGAAGATACATGGTTTATCAACCGCGACGATAACCATCGCCTCGCTATCGTTGTGTCGTTGCACCTGATTAACAAATCAGCCGCACCTATCCGGATTCGGAAATGTAAACTGAGTGGATATTCACCGAAGCCTCCCCCCGAAAAACTGCTTTTACAGGGACATGATACGAGTATTGAACTTGAGTACCCGAAGCATGACTTTTTTGTTGACGTAGGTGGACATCCTTCTGAACATACTTCGGAGTACGTTCTGAACCCTTATACCGAGCAACGCATGTGGGCTTTTTATCACTCCGGCATTGTTACGATGACAAATATGCTGCGCGCACCCATTGTACTCAGGGATGTGAATCGGAAACGCAAGTCTATCCAAGTGGTTGTGCCTCGCAATATGGAACAGATTCAACTCTATCGCGAGGCAGCGACGCGGTGGTAATTTAATCGAGTTCGGACAGTTTAACAGTTTTGCCGCTTGCTTCTGCCGACATATCAGAGGCAAAGACAACGCGATGCGTTTCAAACGCCGTGTCAAAGTCGGTCAGCGGCATCGGTTCATTTCGTCTGATGCTGTCTATGAATGCTTGGAATTGCGGCTCATACGGATGGTCGCTGACATCACCAGAGTCAATGAGCGAGGTCTCAAGCGTACTCCATCTGCTCTTATCCATACCTTGAAGTTTCGCGGAATAGATGCGGTTGTCGAGTAGACTTCCCTCGCTTCCGACGAGGTGGATATGGAAATAGTAAGGCTGTAAGCAATCGACACAAGAGGTGACTTTGCCAATTTTTCCACCACCTTCAAACTTAAGGAGACTGACGCTCGTTGTCTTATATTCGTAGGGTTGAAAATATGCGCCTGTGGATTGCGTGTGGTAACTTGTTACCTCTTCAACGTTCCCATCCATAAAAAAGAGGAGGGCATCGAGCGCATGACATCCGGCAGTAAGTAGGGTGCTACCGCCAAAGTCCTTTTTGATGTTCCATTCGTATTGTCCGTACCAAGGTCCGATGCCGTGGTAATAGTCGACTTCGGCGTAGTGGAGTTCACCGAGCAATCCGTTGTCGATTACAGAGCGGATCATCGTAAAATGCGCGCTGTATCTACACTCAAAGCAGACACACACGTTGACACCTGTACTTTTGACAGCATCACGGATAGCTTTCGCATCTTCGTATGTGAGGCAGATCGGTTTTTCTATGATGAGGTGTTTTCCCGCCTGAGCAGCGGCAATGGCTTGTTCGGCATGAAACGGATGTGGCGTACAAATATCGATGATGTGGACATCCGGATCCGCAAGCATTTTGTCAAAATCGGTATAAGCTTTGAGGGGTGTCCCGTATGTCTCTGCCAATACTGATTCATTGTGTTCTCGACGTGAACAGATGGCGGTGACATCTGAACCTGTAACGGCTTTGAGGGCTTCGATGTGGGCACCGGCTACCCAACCGAGCCCGACAATTCCAACGTTTAAATTATCCATTTTACGGCTCCTTTGAGTCCCGTAAGCGCTGGCGAGCGTAGCTTGTTGAGCATATACTGATAAAATCCAAACGCACACGGGTAATTGAAAACATTATATCACGGATATGGATTTGTCAACTACCCAAGCCTAAAGACTTGGGCTTGTGACGACAGACAACGTGAGTTGTATTGCGTCAGTCAAGTCCAAGTCTCGTGCTTCGTTCTTGTTTCTCGCTTCAGTGAGGGTGGTAACCCACCGCTCTCCACGAAGGGCAGCAGCTGCCCTGAAAAGTATGTTTTGTGCAGCGTTGTGGTCTCGGTCAAGCGAGTTGCCACAAAACTGACAGTTAAAGGTTCTCACCGATAAGGATAACTTTTTCGGTGCTTTTTTACCGCAGCAGGAGCAGGTCTGCGAAGTATTCTTGGGGTTAACTTGGTGGAAATGCAAGCCGTCTCTTTCGGCTATGCTTGCACACCACTCAAAGAAGATTCCCCAAGAAGCATCGCTGATACTCTTACTGAGGTGTTTGTTCTTTACCATGTTAGACACGCGCAAATCCTCTGCCACTAATACATTGTTTTTGTAATGGTGGTAGAGTTTATAGACAAGTTTCCCAATAAAGTCTTTTCGCTTATTTGCCGTCCGCTCGTGATGAATTCCGACAGTGTGAACGGCTTTTTGCCAGCGGTGGCTACCCTTTTTTCGGCGCGACTGTGTTTGCTGGTGCTTATGCAATAGCCCTTCTGCTTTTGCGATACCAACGGGGGTTGTCAATCTTTTCACCGTCAGAAGTCGTCAGGTAGTGGGTTGTCCCCATGTCAACACCGATAGCGTCTGCTGATTCAACCTTCGGAGTTTCACCTATTTCACAGGAGATATGGGCATACCAGCCAGACGCTTTTTTGACGAGGGTGACTTCTTTCGGGTCACCGACAATCGGACGGTGCATGCGTATCTTGACTTCACCTAACTTTGGCACTTTCAAGCGGTTGTGTCTAAAATCGGTCTCTATTATGGGGGTCTCGCGAACGCGTAGTGTCTGTTTGTCAGTGTCTTTTGTCTTTTTACGAACTACTTTGATATATTTGCGTAGACTCCATGTTAGAGAACGCACACGCTTTTTATAGCGAGGGTATCCTTTTCTAGCAGCGTTTTCTTTACAACGTTTACGGAAGTTCGCAAACGCTTTGTCGTTCCGCCTCAAAGCATGGTTCTGAAAATCTTGTGGCACTTCGCGGAAGTCGTCGTATTTCTCACGCGCTGCCGTCAAAAGTACCTGTTGCTCATTTAGCGTGACAAAAGCACCTTCCGTTTCATACGCGACGAGCCTATCATGACGCGCAGAGTTCTGAAGTTCGCAAAGGTGGTCAAGCCACTCTAATAATGTTTCTTCCTGCGTTTGCGTAGGATACACAGGATATCTAAATGTTAATCGCATGGTATATCACGTATCACGTCTTTAACCCCCTAATCAGTGGGTAGGCAGACACGCTACCAAGCGGTAACGCTGATTATGTCTGCCAACGTGATATTCTAATTATACTACATTTTTAACTAAATGTCAAATCTTTTTTGGGCGGCTTGGTCCTTTCTAATAGGGCGGTTTTTCCTCCCAAACCTAAAGGATTGGGAGGAAAAACCGACTATTCCCTTGAGAGGAAAATTGCAGACACGTTCAGTTCTTCTGTAGCGATGATCTCGATATCGCGGCTTATCCGATACAATCGACAGAAAACTGGAGGCTAAATGGCTCTGGAAAAATAGGTTGATATAATTTTGGTTTTCCTATATAATTAACGGTAAAGAAATATTGGCTTCATTTTAAAAATCAGTTGGTAGGTGCCGGTCTGGGAGGGAATCGGAACCCTCTTCGCATTGGCACGACAAATACTTTGACGTGAGAAAAGAAATATGCTATAATATGTGGGAATTGGAGAACAACACTGTTTTCAGGTAAACGTGCGATATGGGACACCGCAAGCGATGTTACTATACATCGTTTCTGAACCTATCCTATCCATCTCAACCCGCAATGAAGGAGACGATTCTGATGGAGACCAAGATTTCCGATGTCTTCCCGCCGAGATTTGCAAAAGAAGGGTTAACTTTTGACGATGTTTTGCTGATTCCGGCTGAATCGGATGTGCTGCCGGATCAGGTGGATACGGGTACGCAACTGACACGTAATCTCCGGCTAAACATTCCTATTTGTAGTGCCCCTATGGATACTGTCACGGAATCTATTCTTGCTATTGCAATCGCGCGCGAGGGAGGCATCGGAATAATTCACTATAACTGCCCTATTGACGAGCAGGTATCTGAAGTCGATCGGGTGAAACGTTCGGAAAGTGGTATGATTACCGCACCGATTACGCTAACGCAGGATAAGACGATTCGCGATGCCTTGCAAATAACAGAGCGTTACCGCATCGGTGGTGTCCCTATCGTAACAGAGGATGGTTACCTCGTTGGTTTGATTACCAACCGAGATCTCAAGTACGAAAACAATCTGGAACTCCCTGTAACCGCCCGAATGACGCCCGGTAAGGAGTTGATTACCGCTTCCCCCGGAATTACACTTGATAAAGCCAAAGAGGTACTCCACAAATCCCGAAAAGAAAAACTGCCGATTGTGGATGAGGATTTTCGACTCTGCGGACTGATTACTATCAAAGATATTGACAAGGTCCAGATGTTTCCACAAGCCTGTAAGGACACTGCTGGACGTTTATGTGTCGGTGCCGCTGTTCTGCCTTCAACGCCCTTGGAGCACGTCGATAGGTTAGTGGCGGCGGGTGTAGATGTGCTCGTATTGGATACAGCACATGGACATTCCAAAAACGTAATCCGATCGACAGAGTACATTAAGTCTCATTTCCCAGATGTTGAACTTGTCGCTGGGAATGTTGTTACGCCTGAAGGAACGCGAAGTCTCATTGATGCGGGTGCGGACGCGGTAAAGGTCGGTGTTGGTCCCGGTTCTATTTGCACAACCCGTGTGGTAGCAGGCGTTAGTATTCCGCAGATTACAGCAATTTACGATTGTGCACAGGAAGCGGATAAAGCAGGTGTGCCGATTATTGCCGATGGCGGTATTCGTTATTCTGGAGACATCGCCAAAGCCATTGGTGCGGGTGCCAGTTCTGTAATGATCGGGAGTCTACTTGCTGGTACGGACGAGAGTCCCGGAGATACTGTCATCTATCAGGGGCGAACATATAAGATTCACCGTGGAATGGGGTCATTGGGTGCATTACGAAAACGAAGTGCCCAACTTTCAGAGGAGAGTAGCGAGGATATTTCCAAACTTGTCCCGCGTGGAATTGAGGGACGTGTGCCGCATAAAGGGAAACTTAGCAGTTTTGTCTATCAATTGGTCGGTGGCATCCGCTCGGCAATGGGCTATTGCGGGGCTTCGGACATTGAGGCGTTACGTAGGGATAGCCAATTTGTACGGATGTCAAGTAGTGGCTACCGAGAAAGCCATCCCCACGATATCGATATTACCGAGGAAGCACCGAATTACACAGTAGCGCATCTTTCTCCATAACTATTATTGGGACACCCTTTCCCTATAGACATTGCCCCCGCTGGGGTGCTTAAAAGGTGAAAGAAAAATGAAAATGTAAACATTTTCATTGTTTTCTCCTCCTTCTTGAACCCCGTAGGGGTGACAGGTCTGTAGGGGAGGGCAGTCCAGGAGGCCATAATTAAAAAAATGAAAGTTAACGAAGAAATGTCTTTTTGGGATAGGCTCTATATCCCTGCGATGATTAAGGGAATGTTTACTACCCTGAAACATATCCCGAAAAAGAAGTTAACCTATCAATACCCTGAAGATTCTCGGAGTGTGGATGAACGGAATGATCGGTACCGCGGCATTCACAAACTGACGGTAACAGAAAAAGACGAGATTAAATGCGTAGCATGCTTCTTGTGTGCGACTGCCTGTCCTGCTGATTGCATCACAATTCAGGCGGCACCTGCCCCAGACGGTTGGCAAACCAAGGAAGGCTATCAGCGCGAAAAATACCCCGATGTCTTCGAAATCAATATGCTCCGTTGCATATTTTGTGGTTATTGCATCGAGGCTTGCCCTGAAGACGCTATCCGGATGACGGGGTTAACACTCCCTCAATACTTCCGTGAACGTCAAAAAGAGGGAGAAAGTCTTGGAAGTTCCCGCAGTGACTTCATCTTTGATCGGGACATGCTCGTCGCGAACAACGACATCCCACAAGAAGGGCTTAGTGTTGAAGCGAAGTAGTTTTTTAACGATCAGGTTTTCGCCCCGCGCTCCACTACGTTGCGCGCAGGTTTTGGGTGCAGTCTCGACTGAATTTGAAAGTCTGTACGTTTTTTAAGAAAAGAGCGTAGCCCATAATGAAATGGAGGGCGGATATAAGGAACGTACACAAAAGATTCAAATTCACGTCGTTTCTCCGCAAGGTATAATTAAAAACGCTCCCTTCCCGAATAAGAAGTACAGCATCATATACGCGGATCCGCCATGGGACTACAAGGGGCAGTTCCAACACACGGGAAGCGGTGGCAAGGATAGTGGCGGTGCGGTTCGACATTATCCCACTGTCTCGGTGCCAGAAATGAAGACATGGGATGTTGCCTCAATTAGCGAAGAGGATTGTCTGCTTTTTATGTGGAGTTCTTCTCCGCATCTTGATCAGGCGATTCAACTTGGCAAGGCGTGGGGGTTTCGGTGGGCGACGGTCGCTTTTGTCTGGGATAAGCAACGCCTGAACCCCGGTTTTTACACGATGAGTCAATGTGAGTTATGCCTTGTTTTCAGGCGTGGAAAAATTCCACAACCGCGAGGCGCAAGAAATATGAGGCAACTCGTTCAGATTAAACGGACACGCCACTCTGAAAAACCGGATGCTGTGCGTGAACGGATTGAGAAAATGTTTCCACACCAGTGTAAGATTGAACTGTTCGCTCGAAAGCGGCACCAAGGCTGGGACGCATGGGGACTCGAAATTCACTAACTTCGTGAAGTCTGCTGTGTCTTTAGCACATTAGCTGAGCCGATAAGGCGGGAGCGGAAATATTAATTTTTAGTTATTACTTCGGTTGAGAGAATCACAAAACACGAACTACGAAGGTGTTTCTGGCTAAAGTTGGGGTTGTATTGATATCGGTGAACTTTTATAACTGCCACAACTTTAAGCGTTACACGTATACAAGAAATATCGCGTACCTCGTGTTATATTTGCTGTCAACCTATAAATTTATTAACAGACCGAGCGTGACGGTTTTGGTTAACATTGAACCGTTGTGCTTCATCGGGCATTCACACATTTATTTGCCTAAATTTATTTGAAAGGCGTACAATCGAATCGACCCAATGCAAGGATTATCGCTTAATTTTCGTTCGGAAACGCTTTTAGCGTTGACTGATAAAATCAAATCCAGTATTGAGGGGCGGATGAGTTGGGGAGATACCTTTGGCTTGGGACTTGGTGTGAAGTCGGATAAACATCTGATCGTTTGGACACCAAAAGAGAGCTCAGAGGGCGATATTCTACCCGGTTTTGACTCAGAAGATGGCGAGCTTACAGTGAAGATGCGGCCGCGTCCAGGGGCATGGGTTTCCTGGATTGACGAGGCGAAGGTCACAGCCGAGACACAGGACGACTATGACCGGGTCCACAGAAGCATACAAGAATTGGAGCGGAATGCACGCCAAATCACAGATTTCGCCGAGGGTGTTGTCGCTGACATCACTATTCAAAACTTGGGAAAATCCCTAACACTTTCCGAACTCGCTCAGGATGTTTTGAAAGCGCGCTTGACAATACCCAGTACGATCAAAACTGGTGGGTATGTGCTCGCACAGATTGATGACACTGATACTCAGGTGATGCCTCCGACTACTGTTATCATTCCAGAGCAAACCCACATTCATCGTGTTCATCTCAATGAAGATGCGCTTTTTGACCAAATACTCGCGCGGGACTACAATCTGCTTCTTGTGGTCATCAGAACCCATATTAAGCAGTACCCTGACCTGATCGATTTGGGGTACGGTTTAACACTTCATACTCGGCTGTCTAATGTGTTTGATGATCAAGCTGCAGAGGCATCGGAGGCGATTGAAGAAGGGTTTGATCCCATTCAAGTGATTGCCACAGCGGCGGTTTACGATCCTCTTGAACCGGAAACACTTCAGTTAGTGCCTATCGCATTCAACGCACCCGCTGAGGAAATTGAGACCGCAATTGGCGAAAGCTCGAAGAAAATCGAAACGTACACGGTGAAAGCCAATCAGAACGCCTATCAACTCATGGCGCAATTCCAACAGGGTGTGGAAACCCGTTTGAGAGCCCTTGTCCTTGGACCTGGGCAACGCGTCCATAATAAGGTATGGGACGATCTGGTGATCCGTGAATTACGGAATACTGTGCTTGTTTTCGTCGAATTCTATGAGGAATATCTCACCGAACATTTTGAGGCATCAGTCGCGGCGGCGAAAACCGAAATTCTCAAAGAGAATATTGACCCCATGATAGAATTTTGGCAGCTACAGGATAATCAACAGTTAACCCTGAATCACCTCATTCAATCCTCCTACAAACTGGCGAATCAGGTGCTGGATCGAGCTGCCGGGTTGTTTCATGATCTGGTGTTTGAACAGGACTTTATTGAAACCGAGCTTGTCAAGCCGGTGGAGCTCTCAATTTTTGAGAATAACGAACTCTTAAACGAAATTTACTTGCCGCAATGGACGCGTGGAACGGTGCGAGAGAAAATGACAGGTATTACTCTTCGCTCGACTTTACACGCGACTCAAGTCGAACGTTTGACGACCATTTGGTTGGAATTGCTGGAACTCGTGAACTTCGCAAGTCAACACAAGCAGGATTTTGAAGCCGTTATTCAACCGTTAGTCAATCTCCTATTAGCCGCTGAAGCAGGGAAACCAACACAGCGCCGGAGTCAGCAGGCACAGCATCGAGGGGGTGCCACCAATTTTGAGGGTTTTGAGATTCCTGATGACATTTTCCTGCAGCTACTTGACCATGTAAAACTGCATTTACCAACTATGAAGGCAATGGTTGCTGAACACGCCTTCAACAGTGGACGAGCAACAACATTACGCAACTTTGTGGGCGTTGGTGCTTGATGGTAGACTACGTGAGCGGCTCCTTGCTGATATTCAACCGACCTGTGATATTAATCTGAGTGTACCCGACCAGACCAAAAGGTTAATCAACCTCATGTTGGGAAGCACACTTATTATCCACGCTGAGAAGGACCGTAAGTTAATAGAGCGTAACCTGAACCGGGCGATTATTTCAAAGACCGGACACGAATTGGCAAATGTCACAACAGCGGCGATGCTTGCTATCCATGGTGACACCCTACTCGAAATCCTTTACGAGGAATTGCTGGGTTATCATGACACTTTGGCAAAACGGGCAGGTCGGCTCGCGAATGCCCCTCAAAAAGGGAAGAAGCGAAAGCGTGGGCAAGCACAAAGTAACGGTGCCGCGAACACCGAGACGATTGAGGCGGAACAGAAAAAAGTTGAGGAACTCATGACTTTCCTCAGACCCTACCGGCAAGAAGAAGTTATCACCACTTTAGCGACAGCCGGTATCGATCCGCGTGCTATTAACCTTGAAGAGATCCGGAAGCAGCAGGTCCTCGGTTTCGATGTAAGTGATTTACCCGCAATAGACGAAACATGGCTCGGTGATAGTAAGAGCGTTGAAGATTATCCAAATTTGCGGGTGTTCCTCCTGCAAAATGAGCTTCCGATATCGACGACCGGCAGGTTGCTTATGAAATTGCGGCAGCAATTTCCGGATGAACTCTTCAATCACGTGTTAGGACTCATCCAAGAGGTTAAAGCACTTCAGGGCGATGATTTTAAGGGGGATCTGCTCAATCAGTTTGTCACCTATATCTCCGAGAAAGTGTGGCGATGGGAACTAACGCAGATTACGGAAGCCGAACTCCCGCTCTTGTTGAAGGAAAAAGTGCTTGCATCGGCGATCTGCTATGAAAAAGAGGTTGATACCTTGCTCGAATACGTTGAGCGTTACGATGAACTGGTATCTACGAAACTGGCAGTAGGTTCAGAAATGGACAACCACCGTCAATATATTGAGGAACAATTTCAGGCAATCGTTGAAACCCTTTTAGTAAAATCGGAATTGTTAGTACAAGACTTTGTGCAGGTACTTCACATTGTGCAAACGAGTGTATAGTAATCGGCTCTATAGCTAACTGTCGGATTGCAGAAATGATGCAAGGCGCGTCACAAGAAGCGAAATCTCTTGATGAAAGCCCGAAATTGTCCGATGGGAATCTCCCGCCTCGCTGGCGAGGTTTCCTAACCTCGCCAACTCTAATATATAGGTAATTATAGGTTTTACTATAAATGGACTTTTTGTAAGGGTGATAGATGAAAGTAGCTTTATTGGGCAACAGTCAGTTAGCCGTCTTGACTGCCTGGGGCTTGTCTCAATCGGAGGTGGCGCGTGAAGTTGCCTTTGTGTCGGATGCAGCGTCAAACAAAAATAGGTTTGTTCATCCAAAAGAGGGCACACCGGGAAACCTCCGAGACCTTGTGGAAGCAAACGCTTTAAGTACAAGTGACACCGCGATTTCTTCCTACGATTCGTTAGACGGATTGGCGAATGCAGACGTGGTTGTTCTGTTGCCACCGGTAGGTCAATCTGTTTTTCGGTCTCCTCAAGCCTCGAAGACGACAGGTATCGCGCTCGTTCGGAGGTTTGTAACCGGAATCCAGCAGTATGCATCGGATGCGAAAATTCTGGTGGCAATATCACCCACAAATTACATCTCCGCATGGATACATCAGACGCTCGATGGAAGACAAATTATCGGGCTCGGAAACGGGGCTGCTACGGCACACTTAGCCTCTGAAATTGCAAAACGTGTTGATGTTTCCGTGAAAGACGTGACGGCTCTGGCGATCGGAAGTGACCAACAGAGGTACCCGCTTCCACAGTACTGCCGAGTGAACGGTATTCCGCTCGTTCAACTGATGTCCGAAACTGACATTGAAAGTCTCTGTGAGTCCGTTACGCAGCGTTGCCCGTATACCATGAGCGGCGAATGGACATTGGTAAGTCATATTTTGCAGGTTGTTTCGGCTATTGCTCTTGATAAGAGGCGAGTGATGAGTGTCGGCACACGTATTTCAGCGGGGACAACATCGGTTTACCTGAATGTTCCAGCACAGCTCGGATACGATGGTGTCGCTTCTATTGTCCCACTTGAGTTGACGGAGCAACAACGTGAGCAGTTTAGACAATTAGTTGCCCAGAGTGCCGCAGACCAAGTTCTATAGAAGTTTCATAGAATAGAATGTAGGTGTTTTTGCTTGGGTGTTTCCCCCAGGTTGAACAGGGCACAGTAAGACCCGCACCGGCACAACAAGGAAGCCAAAAGTGTTTCTAAATAGCGCGGAGACCAAAATACCCAGTGAAACCCAACTTTGTTCTGACAACTGACAACTGACAACTGACAGCTACTAAAAAATGAGAGAAATATACCAAAAATTTCAGAACTAATTGAGTCTGCTCAAGTCGGTGCATACTGCACTGTTGTAGAGACGAAAGGCTCAACACCACAAAAACCCGGCTCAAAGCTCTTGATTCTCCCGGATTTGCGGAACATTGGGACGCTCGGGGGTGGGTGTGTTGAAGCCGAAGCGCGGCGACAGGCGATCGGGCTAATGCAAGGCGGTGTGCCGCGGCTGCTTGAGTTTCAATTAGATAGCGATTACGGTTGGGACGATGGGCTCATCTGCGGTGGGAATATGAAAATCTTTATTGATCTGCCGAAGACCTCCGCTGAAGCTGAGATGTTTGAGAGACTCCAAGCGTTGAACGCGGAAAAAGTCCCACTCGTCTGGGCTACAGTTGTAACGAGTGAAAAGCAGGGCGTTGATGTTGGCATGAAGATGATCTTTGCTAACACGGGTGAACATATCGGCACGTTAGGTGATCCGGTTTTGGAAGCGGCAGTGGAAGAGGAGACTGCGAAGGTACTTGAGCGGAACAGTGCTGGCTTGTTTCAGGAGAACGAAACGGCTTCGGTCTTCTTAGAGCCGCTACAGCCGAGACCGACGTTGCTTATCGCAGGGGCAGGACATGTCGGTCAGGCACTCTGTCATCTGGGGAGCTGGTTGGATTTCGACATTGTTATTGTTGATGACCGCGCCGACTTTGCCTCCGCTGAGCGGTTGCCGGAGGCGGACAAAATTATCATCGGCGATATCGAAACGGAACTCCGAAAATATCCGATCACCCCACTGACATACGTTGTGATTGTCACCCGTGGGCATCAGCACGATGAATCGGCACTCCATAGTGTTGTTGAATCGGATGCCCTGTTACATCGGCTTAATCGGCAGTCGTCGCAAGATTAAACTGATATTTGACGATTTGCTGGAGGCGGGGATTTCCAAGGAGAGGCTTCAGCGAGTTTACGCACCCATCGGACTCGATATTAACTCGAAAACAGTACCGGAGATCGCAGTCAGCATCGCATCGCAGCTCGTCCAGATCCACAACGCTACTGACGCTGTTGACACCTTTGACGCACAGCCGACGCGAATGCCTACTGTTAAAATAGTGGGGTGATAAAAGATGAAGGACATTCAGATAACAGAGGACAAAACCTATACGCTTTCGGAAGTTATAGACTTTGTAAAACAGACGTTAGACCGCGTTAGCGAAAAGTCTACCCGGGACCCACTGCGATATTCGTCCACCGATGTGTATTGGCTACTACATGACATGCTTCGGTATGTGAACAGGAATATCCCAGGTGAATTTATCCTGTTGCAGACCCAGAAAGGTACTTACCGAGTGACATACGCGGCTAAAGATTCTGCGAAACAGAAATCCAGTAGAAAACTCAAGGCGGAGGTGAACCGCACCGCTCGTTATCTTGAAGAACTAACCGGCAGGAAGCCATCATGGGGTGAAAAAGAAGAACAGTAGTGCTTTGTCAAGTTCCAAATGATGAGTATATAATTTGGTTTTCGGATGCCTTGTGCCGTTCTTGCTGTAGGAGCGAGCTGTGCTCGCGATCTTTATACCTGTCAACTTTGGCGTGACACAACAGTAGTAGGCACACTCCGTGGATTCTCCGTAACCAACCCACCAGAGCCCGGTAGGTGCGGTTTCCCTAACCGCACCGGATTCCACAATCATTTCCCACTAAGTTCTAAAAGACATTTGTTTCTCCCCTCTTTAATCCCATAGGGTTTATTTGCTTGGGTATTTTTAATATGTTTATAGAAACGCGTCCTACCTCCTCTCATTGGGTTTCCCTGTAAGTGTGGTATCTGTATGGACATTGATTTCTTGACGCTTGCTACCAAATGTGCTATTATTTTAACAAGCGGTTACTATAATGAGTCTATTCGTGGTCCCAGCGGGACGAAAGGGGTAGTTCATGGAAGTCATAAATTGGCTAAACGCAAATGATGGTGCTATAATAGGGATTGCCACTGCTGTGCTTGTGGGCATCACAGGCTATTATGCCTATCTGACGCGGCGACTACTGAAAGCCAACGATACACCCGAAATCGCAATTTCCCTCCGACCCCACGAAATATCTGTTAATCTTGTAATGTTATGCATAGAGAATGTGGGGACCGGAGCAGCTCATGATGTGAGATTCACAACAGATCCCCTTTCTGTCCCAATCCTTGACATACCATTTGAAAAGATTAGTTTTCTTAAAAGTGGAATTGGCTATTTTGAACATGGACGGAAGATTGAACAGTTTCTGGTAAGCGTGATAGGCAAGTTTGATGAACTAAAACAAACAGAACTTAAGATCACTGTTACATATAAAGATTCAACGAACCGTAAGTATGAACGCACTTTTTCCCTTGATTTTAGCGAAGGTGTAGGTTTCTCACAAATTGGCAGTCCACCACTTTACGAGATAGCCAAAACGATTAAAAAGATCCAAGAGGACTTTCACCGTGTTGTCATTGGCTCACAAAAGCCAATAATTCTCACGGAACCGCTGTCTGAGCATCACCTCGGACAGCGTGCCAATTCTCTGGAGAGCCGGATACAGCAGCTCCCAAAAGAAGTCCAACAAGAAATTTTAAAGGAAGTGGACATTTGCGTCAGCAAAACGGGAACAGCAAATGTATGAAAAAGAGGAAGATGAGAAGATGAAATTGGACACGAATGCATCGTAAAGAGGAGACTTGACGGATGACAGTTACAGTTCATATCTACCCGAATGAGCGTTTGTTTTTAGAAATTCCTGATGATATGGGCGATCCATTAACAGATGACAATTCGCGGTTGTCTGTTGATGAACGTATGGTGCTGCTGGACGAGTTCGCAGCTAAATTTATGGAATTTGTCGGTCCTGATTTCCAACCGTTATCGGATTATGCCGTGAGCCGAGAAGGCATATACGAAGATCATCCATAGTCATGGTTTATTTGACAGATACCAATGTTTTGTTAGGGGTTGCACATCCTGCTGACTCACGTTATCCAATCGCTCAAGTTGCTGTGCATAAACTGTGGGCAAATGCTCATGAACTACAGACGACATCGCAAAATTTCGCGGAATTCTGGAACGTATCAACTCGGCCTACTGATCGAAACGGTTTTGGACGCACACCGTTTGAAACAAATCAACTCTTGCAGCGTCTTGAACGACTTTTCCCTTTACTACCGGACTCTCCTGATGTGTATCCTGTATGGAGACGACTCGTCGTGGATCATCGTGTATCAGGTGTTCAGGTTCACGATGCACGCTTGGTTGCGGCAATGATTTCTCATGACGTGACACATATCTTGACTTTCAACACACAAGACTTTAATCGTTACGCACCCGAAGGAATTATCGCTGTTGATCCAGCAACAGTTTAGATATTTCCTCAGCGAGGGTGATGTGTTTCAAGATTATAGACAAACTGGATAAGGAATAAATTTAGGAGTATATTTCGTGAACCCAGAACCTAAAGTAATAGTTGAAGATATTGAGATGTCCGTGGATGCATTGGACCTCCAGAAAGCCGCAGACATCTTTGAGGAACACGGCTGTCTTGTCGTGCGGGGGCTGATGGCACCCTATATTAAGGCAATCCATCAGGACATTGAGGCTGCCGCCGCAGAATCCCTATCGCTCCTTGACGAAGCGGAGCAGATTGTTGAGGGATGGCGCACGCCCAACGGCACGCTGTTCATTCCAGCGCCATCGGGCTACGAACGCGACAAACAAATTATGGTGTTGTCGGTGAATTATCAGACGAGTGCAGCGTTTTTCCAATCCGCTTTCGATGAAACTACAGCCAATATCGTGGAGACGATCTTGGGACCGAATATGGAGATCTTTGGTGGCGGACAGTGCCTCTATAAGGAGCCGGTTGGCGGACATCCGAAGCATCTACATCAGGATTCTGCCTACTTTGAACACCGCTATCAGGGACCCGTCGGCATTCTGAGTTATGTTGTGGACACTGACTTGGTAAATGGTGCGTTACACGTCGTGCCGGGTTCACACAAACTTGGACAACTCAAGCATATTGATACGTTCTCGCACCTCGGTCTGGCGGAGGATGAGTGGCCCTGGGAGAGCGCGCTCCCCGTTTCTGGCAAAGCCGGTGATTCGATCTTCTTTAACGTCAAGACCATCCACGGTTCCAAACAGAATATGTCGGACAAACCGCGTCCGATTTTCATCAACCGCTACCGCCGAACAGACGACTATGTGATCATCGGTGGAACCACGACAGCAAATCGTGCGGAGTCAGAAAAACGCGCCGCCGCCGCTGAGGAAGCGAAGAAAGCATCCAGTGATCGAGGTTTGATGTTGCGCGGATTCCGTCCCTTTGATTCGTAGAATTAAGCTCGTTTCTTGAAGTGTTCCAACGCCCTAATCCCCCTTGACAGGGGATTTCGCTGTGTGAAGGAGACGGATTTCTGCGATCCTACAACTGGTACAGCATCAGATAGATAATCACGCCTGTTACCGAGACGTATAGCCAGATCGGAAAAGTAATTTTCGCGATGCGACGGTGTTTCTCAAACCGCTCACGCCATGCTAAGTAGAGCGTCCGCAACGCCAATGGCACTATCACAAACGCCAAAATAATGTGCGAAATCAGGATAGTGAAGTAGACAGGGCGGATCCACCCTTGCTTCGTGAACGGTTTCGACCCGGTATTGGCGTGATAGATAACGTAACTGATGAGAAAAAGCACGGACACAACGAACGCTGCGAGCATACATTTTTTATGTGCCGTAATTTTCCGTTGTCGGATTTGTACATACCCGATCGTCAACAGGATACCGCTGATTGTGTTCAGCATCGCATTGACCATCGGTAGATTTGAGATCTCAAGCACATTTTCCTCCTATGTCCTTGCTTCGGCACAACGGAGTGTGCCTGCTACTTTCTACCGGGGCCACCGGTAGGCTTGCGCACCTTTAGAATTCTCTAAAGCAAATTCCCACCGTCGACACCACGTTTGATAATCGGTATTACCGGTTTCTGGTCGCAGACGACTCCGCATGAGAAATCCAGGATAGAAAGGTCTCCCTGTCGGTTGATAGACATCGTGATAACGCAGATCGAAACTCCATCGGATGCTCTGTGACGCATTCGGTTTCGCACTGTGGAGCGTGTAGTTGTGGAACAGGATAACGCCGCCTGCCTGGATCGGCAACGGTTTCGGTGTGAGGTTATCGGGTTGATGTTCCGGTGGAACGGCTAACCCTGCCGACGACCAGTCGTGTGTGAAGAGCCCCATCTTATGGCTACCCGGCAGCACCTGTAGGCACCCGTTTTCCAGCGTCGCATCTACGATCGGAATCCAGACGGTTAGCATGAAGTAGGGATCGGTGTCGGGCCAGCACACACCTGCGTCCTGATGCCAAGGTGTCGGTTCCCGTTGTGAGCTCTTTTTCGGTAAGACAGCGCGGATGTGTTGGATCGGATTACAGATAATTTCGGAACCAACGAAAGACTCGGCGATGTCGAGGATTTTCGGGTTCTTGAGGAAGTTGAAGGTTGCTTCGCCGCGTGCCCGCATGATGTCCAAATCCGCCGTTATCTCCGGTGCCTCGTTCGCGAGATGAAGCAATCGTTCCGTGAAGGATTTATCGGCGTGCGTATCTGTAACCTTCCCTTCCGCGTGCAATTCCTCGGCACGTTCCGCGATGATTCCCTTATATTCATCAATGACGGGACCCAAGTCGTTCTCATCAAGTGCATCTTCGAGCAGTAGATATCCGTTGTCGTGAAAGAAGGAAACTTGAGATTGGGTTAAACGCATAATTGCGTCCTCCTTGCGTTGTGTTGTAGGGCATGGCTTGCAGGTTTGCCATATTCCGCTATCCCCATCGCTGTTCAGGTGGATCGAAGACAAACCCGTGGAAAAATTTTCGCTGTTCAGGTGAAAGTTCCTTGTTGTAAAAGTCTTTCGGATATCCCCAATGTTCCTGCGAGGCAATCATCCACGGATGCTCATAAGCGTAATAGAGCATTTCACGGCAACCCTCCGGTTTGGTGAAGATACCAGCGGAATGCCAGACGGCGTTATGGAATAGAATCGCACTCCCCGGCGGGGCACACACTTCAAGCGCACCGGGATATTCGTAAGGATGCCGCAAGTCTTCATGGTTCGGATCATACATCGCCGTATGGCTGCCCGGTATGAGCCACAGATTCCCCTGTCCGCCTTCTGTCATATCCGTCAGATAATAGCCGATTTTGAGTTGCAAAAACGGAATCGGACGTAGGTTGCGAAAGCCTTCATCGTGTCCATCAATGTGCCATCCCATCCGACGTTCTATTAAATCCGAAGCGTGTTCAATAATGGCATCCGACGCGTGGTGATGGGGCATCTGATTGAGCAGTCCCGTGACATACGGTAGGATTGGTTGCCAATCCAAGAGTTCCAAAAACGCTGGATGGTCGCCGAGGATATAGAAGATACGCGTGCTTTTCTCGCCGTGGATATGCGTCATTCCAGTTTGGGACAACTCTTTTTCCTCACGTTCCCGCCGCTTCTCAATGGACTCGGCGAGGGCACTCCTGAGTGTTTCAATATGTGACGGGGCAAGAAAATTATCCAAGACGAGATAACCGTTGTTTTCAAAGAAAAACTTTTCGGCATCAGTCAGTTCATGTGGCATGTCGTAAACCCTCTTTACCTTACTGTAAATTTTACCCTAATGTGCTACCTTCAAAAGGTGTATAGAGTTGGGTTATATAGTAAAGCCCGAAAATATGTAGACAGTTGTTTAGCGAACCAACCCCACCGCCGCTGGCGAGGATTGTATCCTCGCCTTCCCGCAGTGTCCAAGTAATTGTGGGTTTTACTATAAATTAAATAATTTCTTCGCATTTTCGCTAAAAATTCGTGCCTTATCCTCTTCAGCGATCGGCATCTCCTCAATTAAACGGACGAATCGTGGCATATCCACCCACGGATGATCTGTCCCGAACAGCAGACGATCCGCACCGGAATACTGGTATGCGTACTGCAGTGCTTGCACCGATGGCGAGACGGTGTCCAGATAAATGCGTTGCAGATACGCGCTCGGCGGTTGTGTGATGTTCTCTCTCGCTCTCCCTAAGACTTCGGTCTGGTGATCGATCCTGCCGCTCATATAGGGTAGAATGCCACCAACGTGCGGCATCACAATTTGGAGGTGTGGATGCCGTTCGAGAATCCCGCTCAGAATCAGTCGCAGCAGCGCGAAACTGTTATCCACCTGTAACCCCATCATACCGATCATCCAGTGGTCTTTGATTGCCTCTCCCCACGTCGGGACGGTGGGGTGCATCACAATCGGCATCCGCAATGTTTCGGCGTGCGTATAGACCGGTTCAAAGTGTGGCGCGTCGACCGGTTTTCCGCCGATATGGGAATAGAGCATTATCCCGCGAAACCCGAGTCCCTTCACCCGATCCATTTCTGTGATGGCTTCATTTGGATTTTGCCACGGGAGGCATGCCAATCCTGCGAACCGATGTGGATGCGCGTCCACGAGTTCGGCGATGGCATCGTTGATCGCTTGCGCCCCCTTATTCCCTAATTCAGGTGCGAGCATGCAGGGTGGGGGTATATTCGTACTGAGCAGTGCCATATCGACGCCGGCTTCGTCCATATCCTTGAGTTTTCGCTTCGGATCGTAGACTTCGTCTTGTAGACGGAATGTTTGAACATCGCCGTACGTAACGACAGCCTCGCTCCCGCGACGAATGACTTGCGGAGGATGTGGGTTCTGCGCGAGGATTTCAATATAGGCATTTGGAAATATATGGCTTTGGCAATCAATTCGCATTTTTCGACTCAAAGATGTTTTATTTTTCTATGTTTTTTAGTATGCCATGTCTGACCCTTTTTTATCAAGGAATCTTTTTAGCCAACAGCCCCGTTATTTTTCTTCATTTATAGTAAAGCCCGAAAATATGTGAACACAGGGGATTTGGTGACCTCTGTCCTCGCTGGCGAGGTTTTGCGGCGTACTCGCCCAAATGCGATCTGCATTCCTAACTTCGCCAACCCTAATGTGTATAGGTAGTTATAGACTTTACTATAAATCCTGATTCAGATATTCTGTTGTGGATAAATTTTGCGCTTGAAGACATTTTGCGTTATCATGTGAATACAATGCCTAATTTCCAATCAAACTGTGTGGCGTAAAGCGGAGGAGAAAACGTGACGGACTGGAAGCGTTTCATCACACGCATCTGCCTATTGATGCTCATTATGGGGTATCAAGGTGTTGATGCCCAGCAGCAATTACCTTATGGTGCCAAAGCCCGATTCGGTATCAATAAAGGTGCGATAAGCGATACAGCGTTCACACCAGATGGCACTCGACTCGCAATCGCAAGTCGTATCGGTGTTTGGCTTTATGAGGCTGACACGGGTCGGGAAACCGCTATGGAGCCTGCGACACCATTTGATGTTTCCGCGATCGCGTTCTCACCGGATGGCAAAACGCTTGCGAGTGGCAGTAATGTAGGGGCGATTTTGGTTACAACATATAGATACAGGTGAAATTAGGCATTTTTCTTCCGTGCATACGCGAGAGATTTTTTCCATGGCATTTTCACCAGATGGACGAACGCTGGTAAGTGGGAGTGTTGACAGCAAGGTGCAGTTGTGGGATACCGCCACTACTTTCCACCTTGTAACACTCACAGGACATACAGAGGTAATCAACGCGGTTGCATTTTCACCGGATGGCAGAACCTTCGCCAGCTGGAGTGCCGACGGCACAATTCTATTATGGGATTGGCATAGAATCCGTACAGATCGATAATCATTAACGCGGAAGATGCTGATCCGGAAGTAATACGCTATTCGCTAAATGTGTCGCGCGTCACCTTGCAAACCTCTTGCATGTCAAGACAGTTCGTGTTATTATATAAAAAATGATAACTAATTCTCGAGAAAATAGGCATCGTGTTTACATTGACGCGACAATTCCGAGTTATCTGGTTTCTATACCGAGTCGTGTCCCACAGATTGCGGAATGGCAGAGGATTACCCTTGACTTTTGGCAAGACAATCAGTTTGAATTCATATTATCTGACCTTATACCAAACCGAAAATTGAACAGATTTGTCAAGATGAGGGTTATTCGCCACCCCGTATTCAATCCCCAAAGGCGATTCTGGAGGAGCTCTCATGAATGATGAAATTTTGAAAGAATGTCGGCAGGCAAAGGAGCGGCTCGCAGCCCTGTTCGGGGACGTGGATGCTCTTATGGATTTTATGATGAAACGTCGGGAACAACGAATAAAAAAGGGGATGAAGTACGCAGATTTCTCACCTTATCGCAAAAAGAAGCAGGAAAAACCTAAGGACTAGAATCGCTTACACTGTGATAATGTCTGTTACTAGCGAGATTGGCAGCCTCACCAAAATACGGGTCCTCATTTCCAACCAAAATACATAATCCAAGGGAGAAAAGTACATGAAGGGTTACAGTAAAGGCAAGTTTCGCGCCTGTCTGGTCGCGCTCGTATGCCCATGGGTATTTATCGTTGGGTATCAAAGTGCAGAGGCCCAACAGAATCTCGCACAAGAAGCGTATGCGATCTTTCAACAAAACTGCCTCAACTGCCATGGAGAACATGGTGCCTATACCGAAGAAATCATTCTTGAGCACACCGCACTCATAGAAACAGGCGCAGTTGTCCCGGGGAACCCTATTGGATCCGAACTTTATAGGCGGCTGCTTGAAAACAATCCTGCCAGACGGATGCCGCTGGGCCAACCCCAACTTTCCGCTGGAGCGATTCTGACGATTGGTAATTGGATTCAAGCAGGCGCGCCGGATTGGGGAAGCACTTCTGGAGCAGATGGAGCCTTCATTACTCCCAAAGAAATGCTTGAAACGATTGAGAGGCACATCAACTCGCTGCCACCCTTTGACCGCGCCTTCACACGCTATTTTACGCTGACGCATCTCTATAACGCCGGTGAGAGTGGGGAAGCACTGCACGCCTATCAACGGGCACTCTCTAAACTCGTGAACAGTCTCTCTTGGGGACGCGAGGTCATCAGACCGCAGCCCATTGATCCCGAACGGACGATTTTCTATATTGACCTGCGAGACTATGAGTGGGAGATTGGAACCAACCGCTGGACACTAATTGAGGCGGAATATCCGTATAGCATTGAGTTCACTGCACCGACACAAACGAGTCTCCGTGAGAAACTGACGAATCTCCGCGAAGAGTTGGATTGCGAGGTTCCGTTCGTTGATGTGGATTGGTTCATCGCAACAGCCTCCTTACCGCCACTCTATCACGACATCTTGGGTCTCCCACAAACCGATCAAGAGTTAGAGGCACGGCTTGAGGTGAATGTGGTCGAAAATATTCGGAACGCAGCGGGGAGACGCGTCTGGCGTGCAGGCTTCAACAATTCCGGCGTGTCGAATAACAATCGCGTTCTGGAACGTCATACCTCTCGATATGGTGCGTATTGGAAGAGTTACGACTTTGCTGGGAGTGTGGGGACCCAGAATATCTTAACGCATCCGCTCTCTTTCACCCACGACGGCGGTGAAATTATCTTCAATCTTCCCAACGGTTTGCAGGCATATCTGTTGGTAGATGCCGGTGGCAGACAACTTGACGAAGCACCGATACGGATTGTTCGCAACCCCGCAGCGAGCGATCCGACTGTCCGCAATGGTCTCTCTTGTATCGGTTGCCATACCGAAGGTATGAAAAAGTTTGAAGATCAAGTGCGGGCGGTTGTCGAGCAGAACCCGAACCCACCTTTTGACAGAGACAGGGCATTGCGACTCTATACAGACAGGGCGACGATGCAAGCACGTATAGATGAAGATACTGACCGTTATAGACAGGCACTTGAGGAAGCGGGTGATGTATTCGGTGGCATTGAACCTGTTCAGCGGTTCCACGAGGCGTTCCAAGGTCCAGTAGACGCGGCGCATGCTGCAGCGGCGATAGGTTTAGAAACTGAAACATTTCTCCAAAAGATTCGCGAGAATGCGAGTCTAAAAAACTTAGGCTTAGGAGTACTGATGGGTGTAAGCGGCAGCGTGAAAAGGGATGTGTGGACATCCAATTTCAGTGAAATCGTTACGACGCTGAATTCTCCTGATAGTAGTGTAGTGAAACCTGTTGTGCCGAGAACAGAGCGCATCCCTGGGACCGCCGTTTACATCCCTGATGCAAATTTGCGGGCATCAATAGTAGAAGCACTCGGCAAAAGGACCTGGTACCGCTATTACACAAGAGGAGATAGAAACACTGACAAAACTTGATTTACAGGACAGGAGCATTCAGGATCTGACGGGCCTTGAATTTGTGACCAATTTAGGATGGTTGGATTTGAGTAACAACGAGATCTTCGATCTGTCACCGATAGCTGGTCTAATGGAACTCCACACACTCGGGTTAAGCAACGTTCCTGGGTCTGATTTATCGTTCTTGAAGGGATTAAAAAATCTCAGACAACTGTGGTCAAACGGTGGCCAGGTATCCGACCTGTCGCCACTTGTTGGGTTAACTAGCTTGGAATGGCTTTGGTTCTGGGGCCATCCCATCTCTGATTTATCACCCTTGGCGGGACTAACAAAACTAAATTCCATAGATATTTGTGGTGGAGATATACCAGACCTTAAACCTTTAGTTGGTTTGACAAATTTGAAATCACTATTTCTTGCTGCCAACAAAATATCGGATATATCACCCCTTGCAGAAATGACTTGGTTAAATGTGTTATCAGTGAGGCACAATAACGTATCCGACATATCGCCCCTTGCAGGATTAACCAACTTGCAGGAGTTAAGAGTCAATGGCAATAACATATCTGATTTTTCGCCTTTAGATCGGATACGTGAGAATATAACAACACTTCTATGGCACGACAATCCAGGATTTCCAGTAGGAGGACCAAAAATAGAGGGTCCGGGATTATGGATTGTATTACCAGAGGCGAATCCGTGGGGCGATGCCGATTTACTATCAGAACAGAGCGAGGGGGCCGTAACAGAAAAAGAGATTGCTACCCTTGGCGCAATAGAGGGACAATCTCTTGGCGGGAACGTATGGATCTCCTATAAACTTCCCTCTACACGAAGAATCGCAGATGTTTTGGAACATCGCACATCTGACGGAACCGCCTATGGTTCTATATTCGTATATTCACCACTCGAACAGGATACAACAATATACGTCGGCAGCGGTGATGAACTCAAGGTCTGGTTCAATGGGGACATGATTCACCAAAATTCTCGTTATCTCGGAGGTCCTGATTACACAGGTTTTTATCCTGTTACGCTTCAACAAGGGCAAAATGTCTTGTTAGTCATGTGTCACCCGTCGCGTCATGTTTCTTTGGGATTTGAACCTGGTACAGAGTATGCAGTGGTATCGCCCGGCACAGGCTTCGTGTTTTCGACGGATGCCACAAGTGTTCGTGTCGGTGATACGTTCACACTCCGTATTGATGCGGAAAAAGTCACTGATTTAGCAGGATGGCAGTTTGATCTCACATTTGACCCGGATGTGCTTGAAGCGGTTGGAGTGAGCGAGGGTGATTTTCTCAAAAAAGGGGGTGGAACGACCTTCTTTCAGCGAGGCGCGATTGATAACGCTGGCGGTAAAATTACAGGGTTAAGTTCGGCACTGATCTCCAAAAGCAGTGCCACCGGCACTGGAACACTGCTGGCGGTGACATTCTCTGCTAAGGCGGATGGAAACAGCCAATTGGCTCTGCATAACTTTCAACTCGGTTCCAATACGGGTGCTGTTATTCCTGCTGGCGTGCGTGATCTTACCATCGTTGTAGAGTCCGGGCCGACTTGGGATGTGAATGCCGATGGACAGGTAAGTATTCTGGATCTAATTCTCGTAGCACAACGGTTAGGTGAAACCGTATCTGCTAACTCCGAAGTAGACGTGAACGACGATGGAATTATTAGCATTTTGGACCTCATCCTTGTTGCACAGCACATGGGGGAGTCAACCGGTTCAGCCGCACCTTCCATGCTTGCCATGGACAGCATAGAAGGGTTGGATCCTACGATGATACAGGCATGGATAGAACGCGCCCAAGTTGAAGATGACGGGTCTATCGCTTTCCGAGAGGGTATCGCTTACCTTCAAAGCCTCTTAGCATCGCTAATTCCAGAAGAGACGGCACTACTTCCGAACTATCCGAATCCGTTCAATCCAGAGACATGGATACCGTATCAACTCTCCGAAGCAGCAGATGTCACCTTGCGTATCTATGCTGTTAATGGCAAATTAGTTCGGACATTGGCGTTGGGGCAAACACTTGCTGGGATTTATCAGAGCCGCAGCCGTGCGGTGTATTGGGATGGCAGAAATAACGTAGGTGAATCCGTGGCGAGTGGTATCTATTTCTACACACTCACTGCAGGCGATTTCACTGCGACGCGGAAACTGCTGATTCGGAAATAGTATCAAATGACCATAGGATAGCTGGGATGCTGATGTCTATTAGCTTCCCAGTCATCGCCGATGAGTGGGTTGAGTTGGGTTCGCTGGCATCTTCATCGAGAAATGATGCGTTTGGCGATCAACGTTTCTAAAGTGTAGCAAAACTACGAGCGGGGGTCAAGCGTATTTTTACGCAACCCCTGCCCCGGTTTTGCGAAGTAAGTTCGTCAAGAACAGGAGGTCAGGTATCATTGAGGTTCCCCTTGTTCAGTGGTTTCATCGTTTGCAGATGCATTGGCGAGGTTTTCATCGATAGCTTGGAGTTGATGCTGCGGGATCAGGTCGAGATATTGAGAGATGACGCGTTTAGAAAGTCGTGTAATGTGTGAGATTTTGTCAATATCAGCGGTAGCGGTTCGCACGACTTTGACGGACTCATAATCCCGAATGTATCGGTCAACTGCCTCCTTAGAGTGCTTGGTCTTGGCGGCAATAGTCGGGGTGAGGTGTCCTTGAAGATAGAGGGTGATGATCTCTTTCTTGTGGGTAATCGCCCCCGATAAATCGTGGATGTTGCCACGCGTTGGCAGAAGTTCTCCGCTACTTTTCTGCCATTCATTGACGTAATCGCTGACGACAGCGTCACAGACGTTGAGCAAAACTGCCAAGTCGAGTTGTGTCAATAAGGCGCCTTGGTCATAAGCTTGATGACACCAGCGGACGAGGCGATTGATCCTGAGTTGTCGAGAGGTGAACCCGTTGCGAAAGGATTCAACATCCTCTGCGGCAACGTAGGTCAGGATGATGGGTTTCATACGGGTTTTGACGATGGACTTTCCTCTTTCGGGATATTCCTCAATCGGGACTGCCATCCAAACAAGTTGTCCATAGTGGAGGAGTCGTTCCTCTGGGAGTGCGTCGCCTGTGGCGAGTTTCTCCAAAGGGAGAATAATGACGAAATACTCCTCAACAGTCTTAAGAATATCATCAACAATGGCAGTGGCAGTGACTTCGCCTTTGTCATACCCGTAGTCATTGAGAAAACGATGAATCAGCAACTGTCGTAGAGATTTATCATTGATGCGTCTGAACTTCTTCTCGTTGATGCGCGTGCGCGTCGAAGGTTTGCTCATCAGAGGTCCCCCTTTTTTTCATCCATGGGTTCCGGGTGAAGCAACTCGGTCATGCGATCGGTGTGCTGGTATTCTTCATACAGCGAGAGATACTCGCGAATCAGCCGGTCCGAGAAATGAGAGATCAAGCGTATCTGGCCTCTCGGAAAGCCTTGATGATGGAGCGTAGCGACCTGTGTGAAGTCTCTCAAGTACCGGTAGACGGCCCGTTCGGAGTGGTTCGTCTTTTGCTCAATCTCGGTGAAGGTATATGCCTTGAAATACAACTCAAGGATCTGCGTCTTATGAGACAGCCCTGGGCCCATGTCGTGTTTCGCCCCGCGCGTCATCACAAAATACCCGTCCTGCTTCAAGGCGCGAATGTCGCGTTTCATTGTCGCAGGACTGCTGGTTAATAACACGGCTAAGTCTTCATAACTCAGCAAGGCATCTTGATCATAAGCTTCTTGGGTCAATCGGAGGATGCGATGTCGTCTGAGACCTGCCAGGCCGTAATCGGCTAAGACTTCGAGATCGGTGTCGATGTCATTGAGTTTCAGGCGACAGGAAACTTTTTTCGCTAAAGCGATGTGTTTGCCTGCGGGTTCCTCGGCGGCGACAGCCTCGTAACAGATTTGTCCCGATGTCAGTTGAACATTGGCGTGTTGCGCAAAGTAGGTAGAAATCTGTTTATAGTAGGCTTCAGCCACGAGAGGCATGAGATTAAAGTCTGCTGAAATCTTCTGAATAATAGCAGCTCTGGCATTCTTGGATTCGATGCGTTTGATACCATAGGCGGTATCCATCTGGCGTGTCATAGTAACCTCCATGAGGAGAGTGTCGGTGATGCAAATACATCTACCCGTTAGATTAACTCATACTCTTAGTGTAACTCATGGGGTCATTTGATACAACTAAAGTGATACAGAATTAACCAGATGTGTACGCTCCATCTTGCAATCCATATACTAAGCGAAAAATCGAACAGGTTTGTCGCGATGCAGGGTATTCGCCGCCCCGTATTGATACCCCAAGGCGATATTGGAGGCAATCAATGTGTGACTGATCCCGGGAAAGACATCCTAGAAGCAAAAGGCGCTTGTCGCGCTCTTCGTGTTGACCTACAGACCTATGGACATTTATGATGACACGACACAGAGGCGCGTATAAAGAGAAGGCGTAAATACGTAGATTTCTCGTCCTTATCGGACAAGAAGCAGGAAACATCTGATTCCTCAACTTTCCCAGACCCCCAGCGCAGCCTGAGGAATAGGGTAAACCAACCGTTCTTGTTTAAGACTGTGTCTATGCCCTGTGCTATCGACTCCCATTGTGACGACGCAATTGGACGGGATCTCGCGGGATAACATAGACGATGCCACGGTCCCGATCCCCGAACGATACACGACGGAACTCAGGTAAAGCTGCTCTTGCGCTCGTGTCATACCCACATAGAAAAGACGACGCTCCTCTTCAAGTTCTGCTTCCGTGATATTCTGCCGCCACATCGGGAACTCCCCTCCTCCATACCGATGATGATACGACGGAATTCTGTCCTTTCGCGGCATGCAAAGTCATTAACGTCAGCTGCTCAGTCTTACGTCGAGTTCTCAATATGGTGAGTAGTTTGTGATAATCCAGAAGTTGATAAGCCCATGCTCATCACTGATTAACTCGAAATGGAGGACCGCGTTCATGAACTGATCCGACGTTTGTCGCAGTCAGCATCTTCTGGAACTTCGCACGGTCGCATGCTGCACGTTTCTATAGTTTCCTCTCGCTGGCCGCTTCTGTGTCAAGTGTAGAATTATCCAGCGATACACGTTGTGTATCTGGACGAAGCGTTTCGCGACATTTAAGACGTATCGTCTCGGTAAGGCTTCCTCTGATGAGCGACCTTTCGTTTTCGCAAGGATCGAGCCCAACAACGGTAGCAATTCATGAGGGATTCGCCTCGCGGTTGTGAGCGTCGATTTTGATGAGTTCTTTAAGATCTCTCGATTGACTCTGGCATCCTCTAAAGCCGGTGTAACGCCCGTGTTCATCTCAAATTTTTCGGCAAGTGCACCCATGCACAGCGTTGTCGTGGAAAAGCCTGCGCGCCGTGACGAGCGTATCGTAATGGGGCGCGGATAAATCCCTTTTCAAATACCTTCTCAGGTCGCGGGCAAGGATTGGATTGTCATATTCCGCTACATTGTGTCCAATCAGAATTCTATTCTGGATAAACCCAAGGAATTCAGGCAACACCATTTCGATTCCCGGTGAGGTCTTGACTGTCTCTGTATCAATTCCATGGACGCGCGTGGCTGACTCCGGGATGTGTCCTCCTGGCGGTCTTACTAAGCGATAATACCGCTCAACCTCATCTCCGATTGCGCTGAGACGGTGTGCAGCGATCTCAACGATTTCTGTCCGTTTTCGGGTTGAGTCCGGTAGTTTCCAAATCGTAAACGACCATATCCGCCATGTTTGGGGTTTCAAAACGGTTAACACGTTGGCAGAGTTTGAGTGCTGTGATGCTATGAATCCCTTCTGCTCCCAGGCGAAGCACGTCCGTATTTGCTACGTCCGCTGTGCCGATGAGGATTGTCCGGGCATCCCGTGCACTTTCTCCGATGTCCTCGAAATTGCCGATAAGCAGATGTACCCCGTTTTCGTTCGGTTTGGGTCTGTTTCCCTCAGGTGGCAACAATTGGAGTTGTGCGGTGTGATTTAGGTAGGTTTCAAGCGTTGGTAGATAATATGTCGCTGCACAGTACTCGTCAATCCCGTGGCTGGCGGTAATCTGGATCGGCTCACCGAGATTAGTGCAGCTGTAGTAGGACATCTGTAGTTACCATATTCGGCACTCAGGTGTTTTTCGATGACTTCAGTTCTTCAGCACGATAGGGAGTCCGAGAGCGTTCCAAAGTATCGAAGAGTTTCGTGATAATTTTATCGACCCTCTCGCCTTCAATTTCAATTGATAACCTCTCAAGTTGTGTCCAGAATTGACGAACATTTCGGCGTGTTAAGGGACCGACATCCTGTGGATATGCTTCGATATTTTCCAAAAGCTCCACAAAAGCAATATCTTCACGTTGTGCGAGCCACTTCAAGCGCACCCATGTTAAGTCGTCGATACAAGTTTCAGGAAAGTTGATTGCGAGTTCCATATCTTGTGGAAGTTGCCACTGGATGAAACGGAGATACGCCAGGATACCTTTGCTATTCCCTTCCGCAAAGGAGTGAGTCGGTTGAATTCGCTGGAATTGGATGTGTTCCCGTAGCAACTGTTCTTCCAAAACGTCCGCGAGTCTGTGTGTACGGTAAAAAATGGCAATATCGCGATAGGAATGGTTGCGTTTCGTCACTAAGTTCTGGATGACATTAATGATGCGCGTGCTTCCGCTACGGGTGTGTCAAAGGTATAGTGAAAGATGTCGCGCCCTGCGTCTTTATGGGTTCTGAGGGTGTGTTGTTTCTGTCGCTCTGTATTTCTGGAGATGACCTCCTCCGCTGCCCTCAAAATCTTCTCGCTACACCGATAGTGGTCGTCTAAAGCAAGTTCTCTCGGATTGTAATCGGCTCTGAAACCCTCAATATACGCTGGATTCGAGCCGCGCCAACTATAGATAGCCTGATCTTCGTCAGCGACTATCATGAGGTTGTGTTCGGGTCGGCGCACAGAGCAGTTGGAGTAAGTGATACTGCACACTGTTCACATCGTGGAATTCGTCAACAAGGATATGGGTGATTGTTTTGTGGTAGTCTTTCTGTACATCTTCCACCTGTTCAAACAATTCGATAGTCTTCACAAGGAGATCGTCGAAATCGAGCGCATCGTATTCCGCAGTCTGTCCTGATAGTTTCGCAGGACGTTTCGGATGTTTTCGGCGGTTTCTGGATCATGAATGTCCGTGGCAGTCCACTGCATCAACGGGGTTCTCTGATTTACATTTGGCATCACTCAGGATGTTACGCAGCGACCATGGCGGATAGTCATCGGTGTTGAGGTTCAATGCTCGGACGCTCTCTGTTAATATCTCGTCTTGGAGTTCCTGATCGAAGATAGTGAAGTTTTCGCTTAATCCGATCCGCAGGGCGTGCTTTCGGAGCACTTTAACGCAAAATGCATGGAAGGTGCTGACTTTAATGTTGGAACTGTGCGGTTCGCCAATCTCGTTGTTGACGCGTTCCTGCATCTCTTGCGCAGCTTTGTTGGTAAAGGTGATCGCAAGGATGCTCTCCGCTTTGATGCCGTGTTCGCGAATCAGATAAGCGATACGATGTGTGATGACTCTTGTTTTCCCTGTACCGGGACCTGCGATAACGAGGAGTGGACCATTTTTGTGTGTTACGGCTTCTGTCTGTTTTTCATTTAATTCATGAAGAATGTTCATCGGGGTTCCCTCCGTACATTCTGTCCGAAATTTGCATGTTTTTTAGAGTCGGTGTGATATAGTATTTAGGTCGAAATATAGCGGTTCCCGCTGCGAATAAACCCATGATTATTATACCTTATTCGGCGCGAAAAAACAAGGCATTTTGAGCATAATTCAGAGCCATTCAATTCTCGCGAAACACTCTTGTAGGAGGGCTTTGTAAGCCCGATTTATAGGTGTCCTAATTATCCTGAAAATCCTAAAATCTTGTAAATCCTGATTCTGACAGCCTATAATTGATAACTGACGACTGATGGTTGGCTGCTGATAACTGACGACTGAATGGCTCTGAACATAACGGGAGACTCAACTTCAGACAATTTTTATGAATTTTCATGTGATGGATTGGGTTAAAAGGAAATACTTGAGGTACTCCTCTAACCTAATTTTTCTATGCGCATGTTGCTTGTGTTCTTGCGTAAAGCAGAGAATAATCAAATTACTTGATACTGTTGCACTAATTATCCCAAAAATCCGTGATTGAGAGACATGAATTTACAAACCCCACCACCCTACACGCAATGGGAACTTCCCCCAGGTGCCTTAGCGCGCTTGGCAAAGGCGCGATAACGGATATTCAGTATTCTCCAGACGGAACCCGTCTCGCTGTTGCCTGTTATATCGGCGTTTGGTTATACGATGCACACACCTGCACCGAAATCGCACTCCTTAAACACGGACAGGATCAGGGTGTCGCTTCGCTCGCGTTTTCGCGCGATGGCACGACCCTTGTAACCGGAAATTCGGATAATACAATTTCACTATGGGATGTCCACACCGGACAGCGTCGCTCCACGATGACACTCGGAGATGGTGAAGCTGAGGTTTGGGCGTTCGTAGTTTCGCCGGATGGTAATACTCTCATCAGTGCAGGATTGGGCGAGAAAATCCGATTTTGGGACACTCACACGGGTCGCCTGCTTTATGATATTGTCGGACATGCGTATCCCATCAATGCTCTTGCGTTGTCACCAGATGGCAAAGTCCTCGCGAGCGGCAGTAATGACTATACTATCAAGCTTTGGGATACTCATACTGGCAGGCACCTTTCGACGTTGACCGGACATACACATGGGGTTATGGCATTAGCGTTCGCCCCCAACGGTATGAATCTCGTCAGCGGCAGTCGGGACGAGACGCTCTGTTTATGGGATACCACGACCGGTGAAAAACTGGCAACCCTCGCCACAGACATCGGTGTTGTCGGCAATTTGGAATTTTCACCCGATGGCACCCTCCTGCAAGTGGGGGCGGTGACCATACAGTTCGGCTCTGGAATGCGGATACAGGCACTGAGCAAGCGACCCTCATAGGGCATAAAGATGCTGTTTGTGGTATCTCTTTTTCTCCGGATGGTGCAACGCTCGCCAGTGCAAGCAGGGATCATACCATCCGCTTCTGGGGTTTAGCGAGTGGCGAAGAGAAGGCAATTATCGACGGGCATGCTGAATGGGTCAACTCCGTAGCATTTTCATCCGATGGGAGTTTTCTCGCCAGCGGTAGTGATGACGAAACGCTCAGATTGTGGGATCTGTATACCTACACTGAATCTCAACCTCAGCGGACATAGATCTATCTGATCGTGATGGCCGTGCTTTTTCACCGATGCGCGCGCAATCCTCAGCGAGTGCGAGTCAAGATGAAAGAGAATTTTCTTGTGAATGTGGACATGCTGGCTACTGAGACAGCCGTCTTGATGCACATGATATGGTTACCAGACCATCTCGTTGGCGTTGCAGACCACGGCACGACCAACACTGCGCCCTCGCCAGCGCAGAGATTGGGACAACACTGTTCGATGTGGATATTGATACCGAACGCAATCGAGCAGTCTTAACAGCCCTACTGAGGTTGTTACGACAGTTGGGTCATTTTCACTCGACGGGAGAATCCTCGTCTCAGGGCAGCGAAGATGCAACGGATTCGGTTATGGAATGCCCGACAGTATTATTCTCACTGTTTCTTACGGGGGCATCCTATATTGTTTAAGAAGGTAGCATTTTCACGCAATGGATATATCCTGCCAGCGGGAGTTTCGACAACACTAATCAAAATCTGGGTTTGACACTGTCAACATTTGCCACCCTTATAGGGCATATACCGTGCCGTTGATGCAGTTTGCCTTTTTGCCAGATGGACCACGTTCTTATACAGCATGTTGTGATGCGGAAGACCCCACTAGTTACGTTTATGGAACCCTGTCAACCAGTCAGCATGGCGATCATTAAGAACTATTCAGTCCTGATGGTAGAACGTTTGCCAGCGGCAGCGCAGACGGAACGATCCTCATCTGGGATCTCGCAAACCGTTGAGTTACATATAGTTAAAGTATATTTCATAGGTAGGATTTTGTTGGACAAGGTACCCCTGCCTTGATGAACCGCTTTTCAGGTTCCACTGCTGGAGACCTACACGCTCATTTCTTCCCAAGGTGTCGTGTAAGTTTCACCTGTAAAAGGACAATGTGATCAAGCAGGACCTTAATCCTGCAAATCGCTATCCTATAAATCCTGATTCCGACAACACAGTGCTATCGTCCCCAATTAAAATTTTTAATAGCTTACTAAACCACGTTCTTCTGGAGTGGAATTAAGTGCTTGGTCACTCGCATCATCCTATGTTAACGGCACACACCCTGTGCCGTAATATTTTGAGATGTAACGGTTACAGGCGTGCCGAATATTTTGACAGACGTACCCAGTACAGCACGTCCCATCAGGAAAGTTTCCTGACGACTTGTGTCTTGGTAGCCGACTTCGGAAATATACAATGACACATGTGCGTGTGTCTACCGCTTGAAATGACTAGAATGAATATTGAACGTGTTGAAAACGCAATCTTTTTTAGGGATCGCAATCTTTTTTAATTATTTTTACCTGTGCTGTGAGAAAATGTCAGGATATGCGCCCGCCAGCATCAACCGCGATGAGGGATTCCTACCGCAATTCGGTGAGTGTCGTATATCCTGGTGACGGCCATGGGTGATTCCTCCTACTGTGATGTGCTTATACGGTGCCCAGAAGCAAAAACGAACTCGGTGTTGACATACGCGACAAGGTGAGCACGCCGAGACGTGGGACTGCTGTTTACAGGAAGCCGCTCAGACTTCAGCTACTTAGTCATTCCATCGCGGTTACCAGATGGAGCTGTCTCACGCGTTGTGGCCCCAGAGTTCCCCAGACGTTATATTTAGTCCGTTTTTGATGCCGCAGTAGATCTCCGATTGTAGCGTCTTTTACGCCAGAGTGAACTAAGGCACGTTTCTGCTTGAGCGATCGCCTGGGTTAAAAACGAAAACTGGAAAAGTCGGCTACCTGGCGGAGCGATGTCCCATTATAGTAAAGTCGGAAAATAGTTGACATTTCAGAGGTGGCGTCCGTCCCACCCCCGCTGTGGGCGAGGTTTGTAACCTCGCTCACATTTGTTAAGTAATTGTAGGTTTTTACTATATCACAATTTGAAGCCGGCTACGTCGCTGGGTGGTCAAAGCCTCGCAATTGTCCAGACGCCGAGATTAAATCGAAGGTTATGTTCTGCTGATTGTACGAGCGCGGGCTTCTCCAACCCGAAGGTCGGGAGAAACCACGCTTAACCCAGTATGGACTCGGTGTTTTGATGTAATCTTAGTTATTGGCATATCAGGCGGGGTTCGGCGCTATTGAGCCGCGAAACTCTGCAAAGGCTGATATGTTGATAGTGGAACTACATTGATATTACCAGTGTCGCCCTGGTGTTGTTCTATCAGGGCTTCGCATCGGCATCGTACGACTCCGTTTAATCACCGGATTTCTAAAATTTTATATCTCATTAACTTGCACGCGTCCACCCGACCCGTAGGTGCGTTTCCTAACGCGCCGCCATAACCCAAAAGTTTAGAACCGTTTTAGGAGAAATCGTCATCAGAATTGGTATAACGTTTATCCAAGAGTACGCCGTTGGCATTTAATGACTGGGTTTCGCTCTTCTCGTTCTCGCTGAGGACAGTGTCGGTTTATATGCTTGGTGATGGCAAAGATATCTTCTTTCTGATGACCTCTCGAAAAAGTTGACGCTTTGAAAGCAGGCATCATGCGCTGGTGAATTAATGTACCTGGTGGTACTCGTGGTCGGGGGGGTTGATTTGATGTGCGTACCTTGGACTTTTAGGTTCTTAAAGGTTTAGCAAACGGGCGGATCTATTCCGCCCTTTCAAAGAAGGAAGAAGGAAAAATGAAGAACACTCCATATTGAAACCCTCCTCGTTTAGGACAGGGTTTTTTTAATATCTATCAGTGGATGTGGTATAGAGTACAGGATGCGATACTTACTGAGCAATGGGCACGCCGGAACCGATTTTGCATCTCGCGTTAGCATGGTGTATTCGTTTCGCATGCCTTGGAGACCGAGTATACGCGATCTGTTGTCTGATGGGATCTAAAAGAGCGGAAGCGGCACTCGGTATATTGATATTGAGGAGATAGAGAGAGTCCAGAGACATGGACACGGATTTACGCGAAGCCGCCGAAAAAATCTGACTGATTCTCACCGCGGGTTACCAAATGGATGAACCGATTCAACGCGTCGCACCGGGTTTTTCTGATGTCAGTTTTGCTATTATCGATAGTGCGGTTAATTGCCGAATGTCGCTTCGTTTATCTATAATGTGAACGAAGGTCGTTCCTCGTTGAGGCTATCGCTGCACTAAAACGGAAACGGTAGGTTTGGTTATGTTGGGTGGGCAGATGTGCCATTGTTACACCGGATTTGAAGCCGATACATGGCGGGAGTTCATGCCGTTAACCCGACGCGCAGGTTTTAGGGAAAATACATCGCTGAAGGTCCAGAAGGATTCGATCAACCGATGGTAGCTGAAAACATTGCCACGCGCCAGTATCAGAGTGGTGTTGATGTTATTTACGCTGTCGCTGCGGGTTCCGGACACGGTGTGGTTGAAGCCGCGAAGGCACTTCAGAAGTATG